GACTGAGGGAGCTGAGTGCCAATCACAGGCTGGGGAAGGGGTAGAGTTGACTACTTCTTTGAGGTTCCGTGAATGGGGGAATCTGGAAACTCGTATGAAATTAGAAGGCTGATTGGTAAGTGATGTCTCCTTTCTCTTTTGCTCCACACCTTTCCCTTTCTCTGGGAAAGGGAACGCCTGCTGGCATTTTCTTTTCTTTCTTTTTTAAAAGCACCTTTATAGAGGTATAATTGAGACACAAAACACTGCACTCTACCACTGCCCCTTTATCCTCTTTCCACCCTCTGTGGCTCAATCTGATGCACTTTTGAAGTTTCATATAATTCCCTTTCCTAGTCTCACTTGCTTGTTCTCCTTGCGGCATAATCTCATGACATCCTGTAGGATCCCTTCCCGTACTCAATACACGTAATCCTAATCACAGTTGGCCTTCTTTATTCACAGATTCTGTATTTGTGAATTCAGCTACTCACTAAAATTTATTTGTAACCCCCCCAAATCAATACTTGTGGTGCTTTTTCTGGTCATTTTGGGCATGTGTAGAGTGGTGAAGAATTTGAGTCACCTGACGGACGGTCCTAGCTGAGGATGGACAAGGCAATGCTCTGCCTTCTTGTCTCAGCTCTCATCCTCTATAAAAGCACCCTTTTTGCAGGTCTATCTGGTGCCATGGTTTTTGCAATTTTATGCTTGTTTTTTGGTGACGTCACTGTTTAACATGACCCCAAGTGTGGTGCTGAAGCGCTGTCTAGTGTTCCTAAATACGTGAAGGCTGTGATGTGCCTTATGGAGAAATAGGCGGACAGGTTTCCTTCAGGCATAAATTATCGTGCTATTGGTCATGGGTTCAATGTTAGTGAAACAACGATACACATTAAATAAGGTGTCTTTAAACAGAGAACACATAAACCAAGGTTATGTATTGATCGGTTGACAAAAATCTTGTGACCATAGGCTCCCAGGAACCTGATCCTGTATTTCCTAGAGAAGCAGTGGATCAGTATTCACTAATTCAGGGTTCCTGGTGACTCTACAGAGTATAACTATTGTGAAATAATGAGAATTAACCATACTTAGAACAGCAAATGATATGCGTTTCCTGAACATCTCGTGTCTGCCTCATATTATACCTGGGAATGGAGAACTGAACAAGGCAGAGACTTCCTCAACATGCATCTTCATAGCTAGTTTGCCAGCTTGTGAGATCTGCTCGTTCAAGACTGAGTCGCCAGTTCCTAGTGTAGTGCATTGCCTGGCTTCTAGTAGGTGTTTGATGATGGCTTAATGCTATTTGAATCTCACATAGACTTTTCCCATAGTCTTTCTCCTTTCTGTTAATAACTGAAAAGGTTTTTCCTCCATGATTTTCCAACTCCTTCCTAGTATTCTCTCCTCCCTCTTTTCCCTAACCACTTTCAGCACTAGTCTTGTAAATTTGGGCTGCTGGGATGGGTTTTAATGGATATCTGTTCTGGGGATCTCATTACGGGAGGGGTAAGTCCACCAACCAGTGACTTCAAGCACAGCTTTGTGTCCTGTTATCTTCTATGTTGCCTTTAATGCTCCCTGGGATTTTGAGATGACCAGCATCCTGGCTGGAGCAAGCTCCAAAGGGAATAGCAGCAGATCCCTCTTTTATTTTTGTTTTTTTTTTTGGTCATAAACATTCATTTATATCAGCTGTGAGATCTTTTTGGGTTTCTTTGTAAGACTGACAAAGTTAAACTAGAGATATTTCTAAGCAGGTTTTTTTTTTCTTTGATATTTCATTTATTGTTACCTGAATTTGTGATCACTCTCACATATTGGTGTTTTTTGACATATAAAAAGCTGTACATATTTAATGTATACAATTTGATGAGTTTGGGGGTAAGTTTACACCCATGAAGCCATCACCATCAAGGCCATAAACATCTATCACCGCCCAATGTTTCCTTCTATGCTGTTTATTATCATTATTATTTGTGGTAGGAACACTTAAGATCTACCCTGATAGCGTATTTTAAGCATACAGTGCAGTCTTGTTAGCTGTAGGCACTATGCTGTGCAGTAGATCTTCAGAACTTATTGATCTTGCATAACTTGAAGTTTGCACCCTTTCACCATCATCTCCCCGTTTCCTCCTCCCCTCAGCCCCTGGTAGCCACCGTTTGACTCTCTTCTGTGAGTTCGATTATTTTAGTTTCTCATAGAAGTGAGCTCATGCAGTATTTGTCTTGTTGTGTCTGATTTATTTCACTGAGTATAATGTCCTCCAGGTTCATCCATGTTACCAGGGGCTGGGGGTAAGAGGGAGGAGTTGGTAGGGTCTGAGGATCTAATGTATAACATGGCAACTCTAGTAGATAACACTGTACTGTATAATTGAAATTTGCTAACAGAGTAGAACTTAAATGTTTTCACACACACAAAATATGTGAGGTGATATATTGTCAAAAATTAGTATGTGAGGTAATGGATATGTTAATTAACTAAATGGGGGAATCCTTTTACAATGTGTATCAAATCACCACGATGTACACTTTAAATATCTTACAATTTTCTTTGTTCATTATACCTCAATAAAGCTGAAATTAAAAAAGAGGAAAGTCTATTTCCCTTTTTACATGAGTGAGGTTTAAAAATTTTAAACTTTTAACTGTATTTGCCCTTACAATGGCTTAATTAATTTTATGTGTACACCCACGTACCATCTCTCTGTTCAAGATACAGAATATTTCCAGTACCCTAGAAAGCCTCTGAGTGCCCTCTCCCAGGCTCCCCCTCTGCTAACCACTATTCCAAACTCTATCATGATAGATTAATTTTTTCCTATTTTTGAACTTCATATAAAGATATTATGCATATAAAGATTATATGAACTTCACATAAAGATTTGGTGAATGTTCTTTTCGATACGTAGCTGGGAGCAGAATCACAGGGTATATGTATGTTTAGCTTTAGGACACGCTGCAAAGGTTTACAAAGTGGCTGAATCTCTTCATTTGTGTATGGGAGTTCCAGTTGCTCCACGTCTTTGACAACACTTGGTGATGTCAGCCCTTATCATTTTAGCCGCTCCAGGGGTAGTATTATTTTGTTGTGGTTTTAATTGACATTTTCTGAGGTGTCAAGCTTATAGACCATTTGGATAACATCATTTGTGAGGTGCCTATTGAAGTGTTCTGACATTTTGTAAAATTAGGATGTTTTTATTGTCATTGGGTGTAATGTTCTACATATATATGTCAATTAGGTCAAGTTGGTTAATCTTGTGGTACAATATTCTATATCCTTACTCTTTTTTGTTTATTCCCTTAGTTATTGAGATGTATGTTTAAATCTCCAATTAATCATCATTTTAGTTCTATATATTTTGACACTCTATTATTATTGTACATAAAAATTTAGACTTGCTATACCTTCCTGCTGGATTGATTTTATTATAAAATGTCCTCTATATTTAGTGATAATTTAATTTTACTTTCAATGTTTTATGTTCTGATACTTGAAGTGTGACTTTTATTTTTAATCCAGTTTGACAGATACTCTTTTTTAGTGTTTAGCCCATTTATGTTCATAGAATTGCTGACACATTTGGGTTTTAGTACATTATCTTGCTATTTGTTTTCCAACACCTGTTTTCTGTTCTTTTACTCTTCCTTCCTTGTCACTTTTTGAATGAATTAAACATTTTCTATTATTTCGTTTTTCTTCCATTAACTTTTTAGTTACACATTCTCATATTATTCTTACAGTGGTCCCCTTAGCGCGTTCCATGTTCATCTTTGACTGGTAGTTTACCTGAGATTATGTCAGGTAATTGGATCAATGTAAGAACCTTGAAACTGTTGCACTTCGTGTACTTTCCTCTCATCCTTTGTGGTGTTGTTTTAATATTTTACTGTGTTATAAATTCTACAAAATGTTGTTGTCAAGGGTCCAGATTCTTTCACATTTATCTACATATCAACCACTTCTGTGCTCTTTATGTCCTGGCATACTTTCATCTGAAAAAGTTTTTGGGTAGTTTTTGATGGTATATATGTCTGCTGGCAATGAATTTTCTCAGCTTTTTAAAAAAATTAAAATTTCCTTCTTTATTGAGGTCAGGTTGACAAAAATTGTATGTGTTTAAGTTGTACTACTTGATTTTTTAAAAAGCTGTACAATATAATGATTTGAGATATATATATATATATATATATATATATATATATATATATATCACATTGTGAAATGGTTACCACAATCAAGTTAGGTAACATAACCATCACCTCACATAGTTACCAGTTTCTTTAATAGTGGGAACACTAAAGATCTACTCTCCTAGCAAACTTGAAGTATACAACACAGTATTGTTAACTATAGTCACCATGCTGTACGTGAGATCCCAGAACTTATCATCTTCTAACTGAAAGTGTATGCTCTGTGACCAACATCCCCCCATTTCCCCACCTTCCAGCCCCTGGCAGCTCAGCTTTTGATTGGGAACACCTTTGTTTTGCCATCATTTTCAAAGGACGTTTTCCCTGGACATAGAGTCCAGGTGGGCAGGGTATTTTTTTTCTTTACAGCAATTTGAAGACGTCATTTTCTTGTCATTTTATAAAATAGAGATAATAAACATACCCGTGTGTTACTGGTTGTTTAGAGAATGAAATGAGGGTAACAATTCATGGTATAGAATAGGTGCTGAGGACAATTTATTCCTTCTCCTTAGAGCTGAGTGTCTCATGTGTACCAGGCGCTGGTGATACAGTCAAGAACAGGCAAGGTCTCTGTTCAGAGGGAGTTTACATTCTTGTGGAAGAGAGAGAGAAAAATAAATGTACACACACAGGTAGCAGGCAGTGCTATGAGGAGAAAATAAACAGAGTAAGTATATAGATTAGACAGTTTTGGAGGAGAGGAAAGTCATGGCTTATGGTTTCAACTCTTTCTTCTTTCAAGTAGGTCCTACTTGTTTTGTGGACATAAGAGTTCTCGGGTGAAGCTGGAAATCTTGTGTGCTGGGCAAGATGAACACCTCTACTAACATCTCTGTAGACAATGGTTCCTATGAGAAGCTTCTGTCTTACCTGATGGGCCTGGATCAGTATCAGCTGGAGGAATTCAAACTTTGCCTCCAGTCCCCACAGCTGCTGCTCGAGAACTTTCAGAAGATCCCCTGGGCAAATCTGAAAGCCACCGATCCCACTAATCTGCTATGTCTGTTGAATGAATACTTTTCAGAGAGGCAGATATGGGAAGTGACCTTCAGAATCTTTGAGAAGATGAATCTGCCTTCATTATGCGAGGAAATTAGAGCAGAGATGAATGGTGAGTGGGTCCATAAGAGGGATTTCTGCCTGGTGCTCATGGAAGCAAGGAGGTTGCTGCTGGGTTTTTATGGGGTCATTCTAAATTGCTAATCTATCCCTAAGAAAGAATCTCACTGCTGGACTATGAAGGGTTTAAAGTTTAAAGGTACAAAGATTATAAAGTCTTGGTGCTCCAAGAATGGTGATGAAAAGCAAGAAGAGGGAATTGAAAGAGGCTCATTCAGTTCTGTCATGAGGCTCCTTCTGAAAACGTGAATGTATTCCAGCGCAATTGTTGTATTAGGGAACGATTGGAGCATAACAGGAAGTTCATGTTTACTTATGCATGATTTTTTTCTCAAGAGAAACACAAGGTAAATGCAAAAAACCAAGAACAAAACTAACAACAAAACAGCATCCAGCTGAGCTGAGCCATGTAGGAGTATACAAAGCACACACAGGCACACATCTCTAACATCCACCAGCTACCCAAGTATGAGCCACACCCATCCAGAACTTTCTGTCCCGTTTCAGATGACTCTCCTTCCACCATTTCACAAAATCACACCGGCTGCAACTTCCCAGACCCACAGGCAAACTTCAGGTCTTTTTCAGGGTAAAGCGCCATGCCATATTCATTGTAGCACTGTAGTATTTATCTATTTATTGTAGTACGGTAGTCTTTATTGCAGTAGTAATGTGTTTCACAACCTCTTAGCAAGTGTAAAACTGTGGTACTGTTTTTATTGTTTCTATTTTTTTAATGTGTCACTGATCCTATTTTTCTATAAAATAAAAACCCACGTGGTTTTTATTGTGCAGCCTTACCTACTGCAGTGAATTTTAGGAATGTGTATGTCACTTTGTGGCAGAACTGGCTGCCTCTGAGACCTGTAGAGAATAACTGTAACTTTGCTGGTACCTGTTATAAGCCAGGTATTGATCTTAATGCTCTCTGTCATTGCTCCTTATGTTTCACTACACTCATTAGAAGGAGATCCTGTTGTTCCTATTTCACAGATAAGGAAACTGAAGCACAGAACTCAAGTAAATTGCCCAAGGTGACAGAGCTAGGGTGTGAACCCAGGCAGTGGTCTCCAGAGGCTCTGTGCCAACCATATATGCTTCTCTTGCCCCCAGATGAGGGCATGAGTTCCAAGGAGGGGTGAAGGGAGTTGGCAACATGCAGTCGTTGCCATCAGAGCTTTGGGCTTTGGAGATTCAGGCTTTGTGCATCTTCTGGTGGGCAGGAGGATGGGATGGCGACTAGATTTCTCTCCTCCTCTCTCCTCTCCTTTTCCATCCTCCCCCTTCCCCTTCATTTTAAAGCCGTCATATGCTCTTGTCTGGAGTAAGCAGATGTTGAGCAGAGAGCTAGGCAATGGGGTCTAGAATCCTTAAACCCTGTTTCTGACTGGCAATCCCAGAGGGAGATATTTTCACAGAGGAGAATGCTGTTTGAGGAAGAACTTCCTTTCTCGTCACTGGTCCTGAACAGCAATGTCAACACCATGCATGAATCCTATAGAGCCAGACCAGGCATATTGGACGATCTCCTCCTTCTTCTTGGTCCTTAGCTTGTTCCCACTTGGGCTTCTAAAGGCATGGGGCTTGCAGAGGATACCTCTTAAGCAGGAGGAAGTCCTAGACCTCATTCATCTCACTAGCAATGTGGGAGATGGTAAAAAGTTCCAGTGGCCCTACAGGATAACTTATACCAGCCCCATTAGCTCCATCTTCTGGGAAACACAGCACAATGGGTGTCTCTGTGCTTGAACGGTGCTATGGAATGTATCTGTGAGTGAGTTTGCGAATACACGTGTGTACAGGTGCAGGTGTGCTGTCTTTTGGGGACTGAGTTTAAGAGCTCAGGTTCTAGTGTCAGACTGCCTGGACCAAAGTCCACTTAACCGACTGTAACCCTAGGCAAATGGCTTACCAGTGGGCCCCAGTCTCTCTTTTTAAAAACTGGGCTAACTGTGCCTACCTTTGAGTTTCTAGGATGAAATGCTTAGAAGGCATTGGGAACAGAGTAGGTTCTCAATAATTCATTAATTTTTGGGGTAGTTTTTTTCCAATAGCATCATCTACCATGGTGTTTTCCAGATGCTGGCTTGAGGAAAATGCCAGACAGGCAGTGTCAGAACTGTGAGGGTCTTTGCCATCTTACTCCACACACCCTCCGCTGCACCCAACACTATTCCAACAAATGTGGGATGGGAGAATCTGTAGTTCAACAGGCTTCCATAGATGGCCAAAGGGAAGTCAGAATTGGGATTATTATTTTTTTTTAAGGAATTGGACCTAAGTTCCAGGCTATTCATCTGGAACAGCCTGGCTTTTTTGACAGGTGGCCCCAGCTAGATCTAGAGTCTTAAATTTAATGTGTAAAGATACAGAAGGTGGCACCTGATACTTGACAGCAAAGCTATAGCCAGGAAGGCTTATGTCATTGGGATTATTTGCAACAGAGGAATGCAATGTGTCACATAGTTGACTTAGGGATAAATGGAACCACCATCAAGAGACAATCTTAGCTTCTCTGGGTTATGCCTGGGAAAAGGTTCCCATTCAGATTCCCTGATGCTAAGAGGGCTAGATAATCCAGAACAGAATTCAGCTGAGAGTATGTGGAAGTGGAGCACAGAATTGGGATTCTTTGACCAAGGCTACCATGGGTGAAAAATGATGGATTATTCTTCAAAGGAACATGGAACATGGAAGGAAGCACAGGACCTGTACTGCTACCCAGATCAAGTCCTGTAAACCTTGACAATCACTGAAATCATAAAGTTAGAGCCACATCCCCTTTAGATCCAATCCCTTATGGGGTACTGGCTCATGGCAGCTAAGTACTGGGCAGTGGAATGGGAGTTACTGCTGTGTGAGTGAGACATGGAAGGGGCTTTTGAGCTCGTGAGGAGTGGGACATTGAGAGTGGTTATGTGAAATGCATTGAGGGGCTGGGGTTAGAACCCAGTTATTGGTGCTTTTCTTTCTATAGTATTTTATTCCAAAAATGTTAGAGCAGCTTCTCTGTGCTCAGCATTGTTCTAACACTTGGGATAAATCAATGAACAGACAGAGACTAGCCATCCACCTCTCCCTTTACTGGAAGAAGACATTAATGGACATGATAAATAAGTACGTTTATGGTGTGTTAGAAGGTGACAAGTGTAATGGAAAAGGGAGAGTAAGGTGGATGGGGAAAGCCTAGGGTGTGCGATGTAGTAGATAAGGTAGAGTACGAATTAGGATCATCGGGCATCATTGAGGAAGTAAGATTTGAGCAAAGACTTGGGGGTGAGGCAGTGAGCCAAGTGGGTATCTGTGGATGATCATCAAAGACAGGAGGATGACTGGATCAAGGCCCTGAGGCAGGAGTGTGCTTGATGTGGGCTGTGGTCTTTGCAAGGTAGTAAGTTTCCAAAGTAATTGGGTTGATGGGGCTTGAGGATATGATTCCTTGAGTCTCTTCAATCCTAAGCTTGTCAGAGAAATAGTTGGTTCAACTGAGAGTATCCATCATTGCCAACACATTTTTAGCCCAGGGTATCTCAATATCCCACCATCACTGTTTATTTCAGAGATTGCGCAGGTGCAGGAACTTCAAGATCCCAACCAAGAAGAACCAGAGATGCCAGAAGAAGAAACAGGTTTGCACACTACTTTATGATGATCGCAGATAACTTGCTTGATGGAGTATTCATTTTCCTGGGTCTGCATTTGCCACCTCCTCTGAAATTTTCTTCAATTTATAGCATGCAAGAAATTACAGTTTTCCCAACAAGTTCTTCCAACTTGTTCAATAGTGCTTATTGAATAATAGGTTACCATAAACTGGACATTCTCTCTGATTCCACTCTGAGTTCTTAGACACCAGTATCTCCTGGACTTTATAATTATGTTGCATTAATAAGTAGCTGTATTTTTTGTACCAGTGGTCGCATGGAAATCTTCATGTTGACAAAGTAATACATGCAGTTATGGAACAAGTTTAGTTTTATCAAAGAAATACATGTACTTGTGTATAATCCAAAAAGAATCACAGAAACGCAAAACTTACAATGAAAAGCATCAATCCATTGCCCAACCCTTGAGTTCTGTTCTGTAGAAGTAACCACATGCCACTCTTGGCTGCCACTTTTGCCATTTATTTCTGTGCTCAAACTTGATTAAGTATCAGTTCTAGATCTTGAAGAAAATGTGAAGGTAGGTCTTTGATCTTCCTATCCTTCTGCTTTCTCCACGAGGAACTTTATATATATATATATATATATGTATTCCTGGTAAATGGTGTCTTCATCCACCCAGATATTTAAGCCAAAAACCTAGAATGCGTGTATGACTCTATTTTCCTTAGCATTTCTCACACCCTTGTTATAAATCATTAGTAATCCTATTGGCTCTATTCTTAATATATACCCTAAATCCATTTATTTTATTTCTCATACTATGTTCCAGCTCTTCACAGGCTCTGTCCAAGGTCTTCTACACAGAACTGAGGTTCTATTGTTGTTGTTGTGTCATCAACGGATATGTTTGACCAAACATATCAGCTTTCACTTAGATAACAGTAGTAGCTTCCTAACCTGGTCTCTGTGCCTCTTTTCTTGCACCATAATCCATTCTCCAAAGGACAGTGACCTTTTAAAAATGTAAACTATGGCTCAGCATCCCCTTGCCTTTAGAACAAAGCAATCCATGATGTAGCCCCTCCCCACAGTTAAGTTCACTCCCTAGTATTCACCGTGCTTGCTTGGTCACTATGCTCCAAAAGGTTCTCTCACGGCACTTGCACTGGCTGTTCACCCTGCCCAAAAGCATCTCTTTCTACATCTTGGATTGTCTTCTTCTCATGGTTAATGTGTCAACTTCCTGCAGAAGGCTCTACTGATCCCTTCCCCTCTTCTAAGGACATTCTTGATCTCTCTTGGGTCATTCCATGTTTTTTATTTGTGTGTTATCATCAAACTATTTAATTTTTGCTAACTTTTGCAACTTTTCCTCACCACTCCCCCAACTCCCAAAAGCTAGAACCTTGAAGGTAGAGCTTGTCTGTCTTGTTCAAGGTTGTATATAGGAACTTCATTATTGAATAATTTATAACATTAAAATTCATTCTGACCGTTGTTTTGTTCTGTTTTGCATCACTTCTGTGTTTCAGTCCACAGAAGAAGATACAGAGACAGAATGAAGGCTAAAATATTGGTGATGTGGGACCATATCCCTTGGCCTGAGGACCACATATATCTCCGCAATGTGACAGAGAAGGAACATGAAGAACTGAAGAGCCTCCTTTATCCTAATATGACTGGAGCCCAGCCCCAGACGATAGTCTTGGAGGGTAGGGCAGGTGTTGGGAAGACCACCCTGGCAATGAAGGTCATGTTGCATTGGGCAGAGGGCTTTCTCTTTCAGCACAGGTTCTCCTATGTTTTCTATATCAGCTGCCATAAAATGAAAGAGATGGAGGATACCACCTTTGCTGATCTGCTTTCCCAGGACTGGCCTGACTCTCAGGCCCCCATTGAAGAGTTCATATGTCACCCTGAGAGGCTCCTGTTTGTCATTGATGGTTTTGAGGAAATGGCCATGCCTTCCAAGTTGAGCGACAGTCCGCCATGTACAGACTGGTACCAGCAGCTCCCGGTAGCCAGAATCCTACTCCACTTGTTGAAGAAAGAATTGATTCCCACGGCTACCTTACTGATCACTACCAGGGACTATAGAAATGGGGCTCTTAAAAAGTTGTTATTGAATCCATGGTTTGTACTTATCTCAGGGTTCACAGAGGGAGACCGGAGTGAATATTTCTTCAGGTACTTTGGTGACCGAAATATAGCCAAGAAAATCTTGCATTGGATAAGGAAAAATGAAACTCTGTTTCATTCCTGCTCTGCCCCCTTGGTGTGCTGGACTGTGTGTTCCAGCCTGAAGCGGCAGATGGCGAGAAATCCCCATTTCCAGCTGAGCACCCAGACCACCACCAGTCTGTACGCCCATTTTTTCTCCAGCTTGTTTGCAACAGCAGAGGTGAGTTTGTCGGATCAGAGCTGGCCAGAACAATGGAGGGCCCTCTGTTCTCTGGCTGCAGAGGGGATGTGGTTTTCAAACTTCACATTTGCAAAAGAGGCCATTGAACACCGGCGCTTGGAAGCCTCCCTCATTGATTCTCTCCTCAGCTTAAATATTCTTCGAAAGGCCAGTGACTGTGAGGATTGCATTGCTTTCACTCACCAAAGTTTCCAGGTGTTTTTTGGGGCCATGTTCTATGTGCTCAGGGGAACGGAAGGATCAATTGGTGGTCCTACAAGGCATCAAGAGATGAGAGTGCTACTGAATGATGCCTTGGCTGACACAAACTTCTATTGGAATCAGATGGCTCTTTTTTTCTTTGGTCTTTTAAAAAGAGACCTAGCAAGAGAACTGGAAGATACTTTGCATTGTAAGATGTCTTCCAGGATAATGGACGAATTATTAAAATGGTCAGAAGAGTTAGATAAGTTTGACACTGTCTCCAACCATTTTGAGTTCCTACAGTTTTTTCACTGCTTGTATGAGACTCAGGAGGAAAACTTTGTAAGGCAGATTTTGAATCACCTCCTTGAAGCTGACCTCAATATTTTTGGGAATCTGCAACTCCAAGTTTCTTCATTTTGCCTAAAGCATTGTCAAAGGTTGAGTAAGCTAAGGCTATCTGTCAGCAGTCCCATCCCTCATGCAGAATTGACTTTTGATTTGGAAAATCTGGAGTGAGTATTGCAAAACCATTTCCTTTCTGACCTTCTCATCTTCATAGGCTCTGTCTAAGTTCTTCCATGAAAAACTGGGGACCTGTTGTTGTTGGGTTATCAATGGTTATGATTGACCAAACATTCTAGATAAGCTCCATCCTCTGAGAATATTTTCCTTTTGGTATCTTGTAGGATTCCCTGGTTACTTTAATGGATCTGCTTATATCTCAGGCACTGCATCTTGGAGGCTTATGTGCCAGGCATTGTGCTAAGACACCTGTTCGCATCTAACTGAATAGAGGAGGAACTGTTGTTACCATTCCTAGATGCAAAAACTGAAGGATAAGAACATAATTTTCTTAAGTCAATGCAGCTATTAAGTAGCCCAGCCTGGATCAATGCCCAGCTCTGTCTTTCAGAGCTCCAGACTTTAAACAAAGTGCTGGGTGCCCCTCCTTTGAGCACAAGTTGAGGTAGGGGTGAGGCCAAAGGTGTTAACTAAATCTGAATCTTGTTCTGATGAGGTTGTCCTTTTGTTTCCTGGAAGGAGAACCCAGAAATACTCAAACTACTTTGGTTCTTATCCTATGACCATGTCCCATCACTGACACTATTGACTTCCGGTCTAGGACATAAGGAAAACTGACTGTTCTGCTAATTATTTCAGGTCCCAGGGATGTTTTCTAAACTTTTCTTATGAGGCAAGGGCTGCTATATATGTTCTCAAATCCTTTCTCATTTAACCCTCAAACCTACAAGAAGCACCAGTTCAATTTTGGTTGAACAAATAGAAATTTCGAGAAGACTAATTTCTTTGTGTTCACCCAGATTGTAATGTTAGTAAGATGCTTGGTCTGGGGGGTCTAGAGTGATAACTCTTCGATATATATTGGCTATCATTTGTCCTGTCTTGGAATCCCTAAAACCTAAATGGGGGACTTTATTTAGGTAGTGTTTACTGTTGGGTCACATGAGTAAGGGCCCTTAATACCAAAGATAATCCCATTTATTGTGAGGATTGATACTCAGTCAACATGATTCCTCACTTTAGGCAAGATCACCCCTAAGGCTTAAGGAGATTTCATGCCTTCTCTAAAGTTGATAACAGATCTTCTGAAGTTAAGGTCACTTCCTACTTCTCTATAGCATGACTTCTTACCATTTTTCCTCAGTGGTTTGTAACTCTGTCTGTCTGTATATCAGAATTAACTGAGATGTCAAACATATGGATGCACAGGCATACACACACACACAGACACACACAGACACACACACACGTACACTTAAGGTTGGAAACAACCACTCTAAGCAATGCTACCACTCTGGGCTCACAGAGTAGAATTATCCATCCTTCAGGTACTTTAGGAATGTGGTCTTTGATTTACTTCCCTCATCTCATCTGAGATAAAAACAGTTAATTTGTGACTTTAATGCTCCTTTACTTTTTTTTTTTTAACATTGAAAGCCTGCTGCATTAGGGAAATTCCAAATAATTTAGAATTCTAATAATTCTAAGTTCTAAGTATTTGCATGAATCTTCTTTAATCATCACAAAATCCTATGAGAGTAAGTTTTATTATGCACATTTTAGAGGTAGAAAATTGGAGCACAGAGATTAAATGATACTACTAGGGGGCAGAACTCTGAATTCATCTTAGATCTGCTTAACATAAAGTCTGAACTTTAAGGATTATACCTGTGTTCCACCTCACCTCACTTACGTGGTTGCTTTCCTCTGAAAAGTATTGTTGAGGATTGTGGGAATAAAACATCTGGGATTTTGAGAACTGTGCTTTTTGGGTTACATATGCTCATATCTTGAACTCCAGTGAATCCTCACACCTTTTCTTGAGGGGCCTTTTTGCCTCCTTTAGACCACGTTCTGGGTGTTGGTTGAGGCTTATTTATTCTCATCAGCCTCCTCTCTCTCTCATGAAGGATGAGGCTTGTCGATTCCAAGATACGTCAGTGGCAGGATATTTGCTCCGTGTTTTGCAATGGAAATGTGAGCGAGTTGGACCTGAGTAACAGCGAGCTTAACACTTCATCTATGAAGAAGCTCTGCTACAAGCTGAGAAATCCAAGGTGCAAACTCCAGAAACTGACGTAAGTGTGAGACTCTCATGGTTTGATGAATACCATAGGAGAATAACTCAACTTTTTTCTTCTGATTATCAGAGTGAGTGCCAGAAAGTGTGCTAGGTTCTCACAAGAGTAAAATAAATGCACTTGCGGGGTGGCCCTGTGGCTGAGTGGTTAAAATTCCATACGCTCTGTTTCAGTGGCCCAGGTTCATGGGTCCAGATCCTGGGCGCAGACCTACTACGTCCATCAGCCATGCTGTGGAGGCATCCCACATACAAAGTAGAGAAAGACTGGCACAGATGTTAGCTCAGGGCAAATATTCCTCACACACACACACAAAAATAAATGTGCTTGTATTAGAAATTTTTTAAAAAGTCATGAATGATCTTGCACTAGAGGTAAAGGGTGTGAGAGAGGATGGTTTGCCTTTTTAGGGCCTCTTCTATCTACAAAATATTTGAGTAAAGGCCTACTCATGGGAGCTGAAGCATAGTTTTGGACTGAAATTTATTGGTCCTCTAGGATCATCTAAGTAGAAATTACAGGGTCCCAAATAGCTTGAAGATAAGGAAGAATTGACAGATGGAGTTGGACTTTGTAAGACAAGCCAGGGAAGAAATAATGGATAGAAGACAGAGTGAGTGATACTTAGAGTTGAATTTGAGAAGGCTTTTAGTTGGATGTTCTGGAGTCTAGGTCAACTAATTCTATTCTACTCTTCCTCTGTGATTCTGTCATACCTCAAGGTCTAAAAATCCAGGCACATGCACTGATTCAATGAGTTAAGAGCAAAAGATTCAGCAATCACGACTTCAAACTTCAGTGTACTGAGTGAACTGGATCAAAGACATGGGAGGCAGGCTTAAATAGTCTTCTTTTTCATCCTTTTTCTTTCTTTCTTTTTATTTTTTTACATTTTGTTCCTATCACTTCATCCTCAAGATAAGGAGAAATAAGTTTAAGAAAAATAAGAGGTGAGAGTTGTTCTCACCAGGCTCCCCTGGGTTCGTGTGTGTGTGGGTCAGCTGCCTAGAAGAGTAGCTAGCTCCAGGACCTCTTAATGGCAGATTTAGTGAAGAGAGGGGAGACTGATTCCTGACTTCATACACCCAACTGAGCTTAGTGACTCTTTTGGGAGTATATTTTAGATTGCCTTTTCAAAGGTTCAGTACCATAAGTTAAAATCCATTTTTGGATTCCTCTTGTACCTTGTACATCCTTGAGGGTGTGTGTACATGTGTGTGCATACATGTGTGTGTGTTAGAAAGGCAAGATGAGGAAGCACTCTTTCCCCCCAAAGCTAGCTTTCTTATTTCCACTCTTCCTTAGGTGCAAGTCAATAACTCCTGTGAGGATTCTGAAGGAGCTTGTCCTCGTCCTTTACGGTAACAACAAGCTGACCCATCTGAACTTGAGCTCAAACAACCTGGGAGTCACTGTGTCCACGATGATTTTTAGAACCTTGAGGCACTCAGCCTGCAACCTCAAGTATCTGTGGTGAGTCTTTGGTTTTCCAGATCTGTCCCCAAGATCATGCCTAGGTTCAGTGATTCATTGGGAGGACAGGAGGCAACATTGCAGCGAAAGGATAGGAGAGAGATTAGCAGAGGGAAAAAGCATAATAGTGTATGTAGAGCAGTGGTTCTCAAATTTTAATGTATATCAGAATCATCCAAGGAGGTGTGTTCAAACAGATTCCTGGAACCCACCCCCTGAGATCAGGCAGGTCTGCTGTGGAGCCTGATAAGTAGCAATTCTAACAGGCTCTAAGGTGATGCTGGGCCGCGGACCACACTTTGAGTAGCACTGACTTGAAGGTCATCCTGACTCTGTAAGGGAGGAGGAATGGGGAGAAATCAGCTGTTGTTCATGGAGCAAGGGGGCCTCTAAACAAAGAGCACTCTTCCCAGGAGTAACTGCTACCCTCGGACCTCTTTGATAGGTTGGAATCGTGTGGCCTCAGCTCTCGGGTTTGTCATCAACTTTTTCTGGAACTCAGCAAGAACTCAAGTCTGAGCTTCCTCAGCCTGGGGGACAACGACCTCTCGGATATTGAGGTGAAAAGTCTGCAGGAGCCCTTTGAGATGTCAAAGTGTTCCCTGAAGGAGCTGTCGTAAGTCTTCTCATTTCATCAAAATATCATCTTATTTGAGCGGCAGGGTGGGGATGGCAGTGGGAGTATGTTTTGGGGATCCTTGGGGATCCCCCTATTGTACTTACCTATCCCGTTGACGCACTTCTTGCCATCTTCATTCTTCACACCTTTCTCCTTAGGGCTCAGTCCCTGCCAGCCTTGCCCTCATCTTGATTATGGGCATCTCACCTGCCAGTGTCTTTTGTACAACCCCCTCAGGCTTCTGCCAGCTTCCCCTAAACCCAGCAGTTTCAAACTGGGGGCAAATGTCCCAGGGGACATTTGGCAATGTCTGGACATACATACTTGTTTTTCACAGTTGGGAGGAGAGGGTGCTACTGTCCTCTAGCGGGTAAAGACCAGGTATGGTCAATATCCTGCAGTGCACTGGAGGGCCCCCACAACAAAGGATGATCTGGCCCAAAGGTCAGCAGGGCTGAGATTGAGAAACCTTAACTTGACCCACCATTTTCTCCCCTTCAAGCTTTTGTTCTTTATCCAATTTAATTTTTCCATGATGATTGGGTCCCAGACGTGTGGCCCAAGTGATGGGGTTTGAGAAAGAAAGAGAAAGGAAACTGGGCATAGCTGAAGCTCACTTTGCATCTGCACCTTCCTCAGCCTGGAGAAATGCAACCTGTCAGCCTCCAGCTATCAGAATCTGGCCTTGCTTCTCCCCAGCACCCAGAGGTTGACTCGACTGTGCCTGGGATTCAATCAGCTCCAAGATGACGGTGTAAAGCTGCTGTGTTCTTCCCTGTCCCACCCCGAGTGTGCCTTAGAGAGATTGGTGTAAGTTCCCCCTGGTTCTGTTTCTGGAAACGACTCTCTGTGGGGGTAGGCGTCGAAGAGAACAATGACTCCTTCATTGGGGACCCATTTATATCATTGAAAACTAACATTCATTGAGCAAGTACTCCGTGTACTAGGCATTGTTCTAAACACAGATTCTGAGTTGCACCCCAGATTGAATCAATCTCTGGGGGTTGTGCCAAGGAATTCAATTTTAACAAGGACCCTGGGAAATTATGATTGTTTTAGTCAACCGGTATCTGAGCTCCTATCTTCAGACACAGAGCTGGGCACCCAGGGTCGGGTGGTGGATAGGACAGACAAGCTTCCTGCCTGTGTGGAGGATACAGTTTTATGAGTGAGATACAAAAATAAAAAAATCAACAACCATTGAGATGGAGAAAATGAAAGTGGGATGAGTAGACAAAGAGTGGTGGGGTTAGTTTCCCGGGAAGGTCTCCTCTCACCAACCTATCGGAGGAGGTGACGCTGAAGCAGAGACTTGAAGGAAGGCAGGGAGGAAGCCACATACTGAGAGGAGGAACAGGGGAGAACAGGCCCTGAGGTTGGAAGGAGCTTGGGGTGTCATGGGAACAAGAAAACTAGTATGGCTGGAGTAATATGAGTGAGGGGGATAATGAGAGCAAATGAAGCTGAGGAGGCAGGAAGATGCCTGGGATACGCCTGGGTGGTGTAGGAGTCTGTGTTTTGTTTGGGGTGAGGCGAAGAGTCACCTGAAGATTGGAGGCTGATCGGTGACATACTCTGACGTCCTTTGAAAGATCTGCTTCTGAAGGATGGACTATAATGGGGGCAGAAGTATAAGCAGAACAAGTGCCTGTAGACCAGACGGGAGGATTGGAGAGAGCCAGCCTGGGTGAGGGGGCAGGACGTCAGGGTGTATTTGAAGGGAGAGCCAGGGGGACTTGGTAGTGGATTAGAGGTGGATTAGGAGGGAAAGGGCCCAAGAACCCCTGCAGGTGATGAGCTTGGGCAGCTTGGGGAAGGGTGGTACCATTTGCTGACATGAAGAAGAGGGGGAGAGTGGGGTTTGGATTGGGACCGGGGAGCATGAGATGCTCGTTAGTCAGCTAGTAGAGTGGTTATGTGAGCAGGTGTCCATGGGACTACAGGGCTCCAGAGTTGCTGGGGAGGAATGAGTTCACTTGCAGGGGTAGACGTCAAGTGTGATTGTGTAGATCTTTCCTCCTCCAGCCACGTTTTGGTCTGGTGCAGGCGTAGAGTAGATGGAGAGTGGGGTTTTCCTGGGATTGAATATTGTTCAGGTGGGTATAAAAGGGTGGAGAAGGCCAGAGTCTTGAGCTGAATCCGAGGGGGTGATAATGGTGAAAGACCACAGAATTTGCGCTAAGGAGAAAAAGCACTCACTGGGCACTGAGTCTCAAAGAGCCACAATATGAACAGGAAACAAATACATATATAATATGAATGAATAATATACATGTACAATTATTATATTATATTTATAATATATTCTGATATGTTTTAATGATACCTATACCATATACTTTAATGTATATCACATTTAATATGATATATATTAGTATTAATATATAATATGTGACTAATATATATGATCTAATATATTAATATTAATACTATATCTTATATAACTATATATTATATATAATAGTGTATATAATTTATATATTATATAGAAGATATATTGTTATGCAATAAGAACATAGCATGTATCACATAATATCTCCATTCTATAATACCTATAGATCCACTACATGTCTCCCTGTATTGTATGATACATCTCCTATAACTTGTATTGCACACTCACCAAGTACTGTCCCAAGCACTTTATGTGCCTGGCCCACTGGATCTCAACCCCCCGGTGACAGACCACCATAATCTCCACTTCAGAATGGAAGAAATGAAGGCCGAAGGGAATAATGCAGCTTGCCGACCAGTTAGTAATGGCGAGCGGCTTTGAACCCATGTCTGACTGGCTCCAGAGCCTGGGGTCCACCCCAGCTGCTTCAGGCCATTTAAACTGTTTTTCCTTTATTTTCTATTTTTACTTAAAAATTTTAAAAAGAATTCTCACAGTAAATGTCATTTTTTTGACACGTATAAAGCTGGACATGGGACTGGCCCCGTGGCCGAGTGGTTAAGTTTGTGTGCTCCGCTGCAGGCGGCCCAGTGTTTTGTTGGTTCGAATCCTGGGCGTGGACATGGCACTGCTCATCAAACCACGCTGAGGCAGCGTCCCACATGCCACAACTAGAAGGACCCACAATGAAGAATATACAACTATGTACCGGGGGGCTTTGGGGAGAAAAAGGAAAAAAATAAAATCTTAAAAAAAAAAAAAGGAAATCTGGACATATTTAATGTACACATCTTGGTGAGTTTGGGAATAAATATGCACCCATGAAGCCATCGCCACCACCAAGGCCATAAACACCTATCACCTCCCAAAGTTTTCTTCTGACCTCTTTATAATGATGATGATGATGATGATGATGATGATGATATTTTTTGTGGTAACACAACATAGGATCTACCCTCTCAGAACATTTAAGTACATGATACAGTGTTAGCTGTGGGCATGATGCTGTGCAGTAGATCTTCAGAACTTATTTCTCTTGCATAACTGAAACTTTGTACACTTTGATATCATTCCTTTATTATTTTTTTTAAATCAACCACTAATGACCAGCACATTCTTAGTGTGCTTGTTTTATACACCTGCAACAGAAAGGATAGGTAAGCAGATGCTTGGCGTGTCCTAGATAGGGATCTAGGGAGACACTGTGGCTGAATCCGGAGAAGGGCCTTTGTTTGGGCTGCTTCCATGAGCATCTATCTTTGTGGCTTTTGACCCACAGGCTTTGGTTCTGCCAGCTTGGGACACCCAGTTGCAGGTACTTGTCAGAAGCTCTCCTCCGGAACAAGAGTTTGACGCACCTGAATCTGAGGAAGAACAACCTGGGAGACGAGGGGGTGAAGGTTCTGTGCAAGGCCCTGAGTCATCTGGATTGCAACCTGCAGAACCTGGAGTAAGTTGCTTCAGCTTCTTCTCATTTAGTGGGTGGGAGGGGAGCCATATGGATCCACCTGCAAATGCCTGAGTTCCAGGAGGGATCTGAGTCCTGGGTGTGGAAGTGATTCTTGCCATAGAGGAGCTTTTGGATTAGTTGGAGGTGGGGTGTGTGGGTGCCTGTGGGGGGAAAGATCTGGGATGACTGTTAAGGACCAACTACTAATGCATGTCAGGGGTCCCCAAGACCACCGCTCGGGTCTGATGATTCACTAGGAGGGCTCACAGAACTCGGCATACAGTCATATTTGTGGCTGTGATTTATTCTGGTGAAAGGAGACAAAGCAAAACCAACAAAGGGAGAAGGTGCAGGGGGCAAAGTCTGGAGGAGGCCAGGTGCAAGCTCCTGGGAAGCTCTCCCAGTGCAGTCACCCTGGGCACACTCAATTCTCCCCTTGCTGAGATGTGACAACACATGTGAAATGCTGTCCACCAGGGAAGCTCACTGCAGACTCAGTGCTCGAGGTTTTTACTGGGTGCTGGTGACATGGACACCCTCTGCCTAGCATGTACCAAGATCCCAGACTTCTACAAGGAAAGCAGGTGTTCAGCATAACCCACCTTGTTTGCACAGTTCAGGCACAGGGAGTTATTCTCATCAAGGAATGGGGGAGCTATCCTGAAATCCAAGCTCCCAGATGCCAGGCAAGGGCCAACCTTGCCAGCAGGCCTTTCTAAGGACAGCGGTCAGGCATGTGATGCTGGTTCTTCTCTGCACAGTGTGTGATTCCACGCCTGATACAGAAGAAAAGTCAGAAATGAGCTTCGAGTCTCCCTAGCTTGTCGGTCGTACTAGAAATGATTTTGTATGTTATTTATGTCTATGCATGTTTTCAAACATGTAGTCTGTATCTGTCTTAAAAAGGCTTATGACTCCCAATAGGAATATAGGTGGCAGTGGGAGGCTATCCAAATAACCACAGACATAGGGTGCTAAGAAATTTGGAAACTTTTGTATATAATTTTTTATTAACTGTATTAATATTGGAAACATTTTAATGGCCTAAGATGTAGCCAGCCAATAATTAAATAAAATAGAATATTTTTGAATTGGTCATACAGGTGAATAAATTCACAGGATTAAAGATTACTGTGTTGTCCAATATGGCACCCACTAACCCAATGTGACTAAATTTAAATTGAGATTAAATATAATGAAAAATTCAGTTCCTCAGTTACATTAAATACATTTGAAGTGCTTGATAGTCACATGTGGCTAGTGGTTCTTGTAGTGGACAGTGCAGTTATAGAACATTTCCACCATCACCTCTCTGTCTCCCCACTCTCCCCCTCCACAGACTCGTTTTTTCATTCTCTCTCCAAATATTTATATGGATTACTCATCTTGAACTTATTTTGGTATAATAATTCATTCTTAGGAATTTAGATCTGGCCTTAAGTGAGATTCTTGGTGTTTTTTTCAGCTCAAATTTGAGCTCAGAGGCTGGAAACCATATTCTGTGATAGCTGTGTAGAATCTGGGTGCTCTGGGAGTACATCTCATGGAGAAGTCCTTCCTCCACGTGGACAGGCCTGTGGATGGCATGGGAGAGGGACAGCTGCCTTGCTTTTCCTTCTGCTTCCTTTCTGTCACAGGTTAATAGAATGCCCTGGGTGTCTCTGGCCTCCTAACATGTACGCTCCTCCTTCTAGGGCTGCGGATGAGAAGTACGGGTTTGGCATCTCTCTTTTCCTTTTGGAGAAAGTGATATGGACTGCAGCATATAGACTAAAACCTGAGGGTTCAGGGATTATTTTTTCCCCTTTTGTACGTCTTTATTTTGCAGTTTGTCAGATTGTTCTTTCACAACGGAGAGCTGTGGCGAGCTTGCTAATGTCCTCAAGCATAACCATAATGTGAAAATTTTGGATATTGGGAACAATGATGTTCAGGATGATGGAGTGAAACGACTCTGCAAGGTTCTAAAACATTCGAATTGTGCCTTGAACACACTTGGGTGAGTTGATGCTGTTTCCTTTGGGAAAGTCCGTCTCTCTGCTCTTGGGGTGGGCAGGGAATAATGTGTGGTCACATGGGATTAAGAAGGTGAGGATGGTAAAGGACAGAGTTCTTCTCTTAAAAATCTCTTCTCAGTGATAAGCTCCAAGTTTAGAGAAAGTGTTTTACGCTTGTCACCCTCGTCCTTGGTGTATTGTAAATATTCCTTCAGTCCGCATATTTTGGATGGTAGGTGCTGCGGGGTGGGGCATGTTCCCTGCCCTGAAAGTCTTTCCTGTGTTTGGGGAAGACGGATTTTAACCCTAATGTGATGTGTTTGCTCAGCAAGCTAAGATGGTTCAGCCTGAAATAATAGGATTTTGGTTAAATGTGGGTCAAATGATAGCCATTTTTCACATAGGCAATGGTTCTAATTGTTCTCACAAACTACTTAGGGGCTGGGGGCAGACTTCACTGAGGAGGTTGGGTTTTGAGATGAACCTTAAAATGTGAGTCCTCACCCCATCCCCAAGCTCCCAAAAGGGAGGGAGAGAAGGAAAGACCTTGACAGAGGGTGACAGTGTAGACAAGGGCTCTGAGGTGGGAAATTCAACAAGACGGTGGGAACAGAGTGATGGGTCTGGGCATGAGGGATAAGACTATGTGGGGAAAAAATTCTGTAGGGAAGGCTATTGTCTGAATGCCACTATGTGCTTGGAAATGGGAAACATGTTACAGTCATCACTTCATCCTCCAGCAGGGAGGCACTAGGAGGTCGGTACTTTTATACTCATTTTATAGATGAGAAAACTGAGGCAAGGAAATGGGGACGGGGCTGAAGCCAAGTCTGATTCAGAAGTCAGTTCTTTTGTTCAAGCTTTATTGAGATGTAATTGACATAGAACACTGTGTGAGTTTAAGGTGTGCAGCGTGTTCATTTGATCCACTTATATACTGCAAAAGGATCACCACCGTAGCATTAGCTAACACCTCCATCCCATCACATAAGTATCATTTCTTTTTTTTGGGTGAGAACATTTAAGATTTACTCTGTTAGCAACTTTCCAGTATCTAAAACAGTATTGTTAGCTATAGTCACCATGCTGTGTGTTAGAGCCTCAGAACTATTCACCTTATAATTGGAAGTTTGTGCCCCTTTGACCAACATCTCCCCATCTCCCCCAGCCCCTGGTAACCACCATTCTGTTCTCTATTTCTCTGAGTTTGGCTTTTTTAGATTCCACATGTAAGTGAGGTCATACAGTGTCTGTCCTTCTCTGTGGCAGTCTTGCCATTTGTGACAACTTGGATAGACTTTGAGGATGTTACGCTAAGTGAGATAAGCCAGAAGCCAGTTCTTTTCACCACGTCTCTGTCCTTCAAGAAGCATCTTCAGGTGCAATGTTCTCTATCCTATAGGTGAAGGAGGAGCCACTAGGTTCATACAAGTAAATCAGGGTCATATTTATGCTTTCAAAAGGATCATGGTCTGGTTTTAAGCCCTCACTCTCTAGGTGCTTCTCCTGGAGGCAGAAAGGAGTAGAACGTTTGCAACAGTTATTGCAATGTCTTTAATGATGGATCCCTTCCCAACATTCATTTCACTTTCATCCAGTCTCCTTCTCCAGTGTTGTAGTTTTAAAGGAGGTACCTGCTTGTCCTATATTTGTGTCCATAGTGTTCCATCTTTACTATTTAGACCAGGGCTTGTCAATCCCAGCACTACTGACACTTTGGCCCAGGTAATCCTCTGTCATGGGGGGCTGTCCTGTGCACTGTAGGATGTCGAGCTGCATCCCTGGCCTCCACTCTCCAGATGCCACTAGCACCTCCCCAATCTTCAGACATCATCAGATCTCCCCTCTGGGGAAAAATCCTGCCTGATTGAGAAACACTGGACTAGAAGATGAAAGGAATACTATTAAAGGTATAGGATCAAGGTCAATGATATATAGTACAGTGGGAAAAGTCCTGCTGGTAGCATTAGAGCTGACACATTGGGACAAACCTTGAAGCCCATGTTTTTCTCATACCAGCCCCTTCCTGTCCGTCAAGTGGTACATTTAGCTTGAAGCATTCTCTGGATCCCATACAACCTCTTCCAACATGGGAAATATATTCCTTCCCTCTTCTCTTCATGCATAAAATTTTGCATGTATAGCCGCATGTCACATTTCTTTATAGACTTAGGTGGAAATTTCCACCGTGTTAAACTGATGAGACACTTTCGTCTTTGTATTCCTAGTAGCTAGCCAACTATATGTTCATATTTTGTATTGCTGACCTTAGAAATAAGATGGAAAAAGTGTAATTAAAGGGTTGTAATGCTATTTTAGTTCTTTCAAGGCCTTATATATAAACTCATGTCCACTTTATACTAAAATTGTTAATTTCATGCTCAAGCCGGCTAAACTTCTGTTTCCTCATCTGTCAAATGGGGTTTAAGATATGACCTACCTTTACAGGATTGGTATATGGATTAAAAGAGTTATGCATAAGCATTGGGAAAGGGGTCTGGCATGTGTTAAGCACTTTACTGTCAGCCAGGCTGTTTTAGTAGGATACTTTTCCTAGATCTTGTATCACATTTTTTTTCTCTAATTTCTCAATCTCTGAGGACCATCTTTCACCCTTCCTTCCCACCCCTGCCTAGGTTGGAGAAATGCAATTTGACGCCTGCTTGCTGCCAGCCTCTCTCCTCTGTTCTCAGAAGCTGTAAAAGCTTGGTTAATCTGAACCTTCTTGGAAATGACTTTGGGCCCGATGGAGTCAACACGCTGTGGAAGTCCTTGAGAAGATCAACGTGCAAACTACGAAAACTCGGGTAATCCCTGCTGACTCTTACATGGGGAGGCATCTGCTGAAATGGGGATGGACTGGCTGATGTTCTAAAGTGAGCATCAAGTTTACCCTGCATCAAGTTTACCCTGCATTCAATTCCTAGGGCAGTGCTGGCCAACAGAACTTTCAGTAATGATAGAAATGGTCTATATCTGCCTTGTGCGATAGAGTAGCCACGAGCTGCATGTGGTAACTGGGCACTTGAAATGCTGTTGGTGTGATTGAGGAACTGAATTAACTTTCTTAGTTTGAATAAACTTATATCTAAACAGCCCACGTGGCTATTGACTACCATAGCAGATGGCGTAGTCCCACAGACATTTGGGTATTTTGGGAGTCCCCTCATTTTTCTCATTCTTGTACCTCCTCTATATTTCACTCAAAGGACCTTCACCCCACATCTTCTTTTTCAGTGCTGACTGTGGGCCAAGCACCATGGCATAGTAGACAGTGGGAAACAAAAGGTTGTGAGCCTTGTCCTCATGGGTCTGCATTCTCCTCAGGGAGTGACAAATCTGAGACATACAAAAGCAGTGCTAGTTGAAGGAAGCTCTGGGTTGTGGTGCAGAAAACAAGGGTGATCAGAGTGTAAGGGAAGGCGTGTCTGAGGTGATGTTGTTGATCTTGAGTCCTAAGGAAGCTGGAAGGAGGAATTTGTGTATCAGGAGGGGAACACGAACAGAAACGCAGAGTTGGGAACATAGAGATGCAGAGTGGAGTGTTCTCAGGAAGCTGGAATAGCATGAGCAAAGGACCTGAGTTTGGACCAAGCTTTTGTGTTGTCTCTTCAAGGCATTGAAAGAAGAGCATTTAATTAGAATACTCTCCACCTTATTCAGTATTCTGGGGATGAGATCAGAAAGGGAAGTAGCATTTTTTTCCTGGAGAAATACATTAAACTAGGTACATTTTAGCAAAAGTCATGTCAGCTACCAGGGAAACTTCCCTACTTTGAGAAGCTGGTCAAAACTCATACACTCAGGATTTTATGTTACCAACTTTAAGTAATGCATTTTTACAAAAGTTCTGGGATGCTGACCACCAAAGGTGGACATCCCTCCCTTACCCACTGTGTATGTGTGTGATTCAAGTTGTAGAGGGGACTTCTGACTGGGTACCCAGATTCACATCTCTACTCAAAGAAGGGACTTTCAGAAGTCTACTAAACAAAGAATAATGGTACAAATGAAAGGAATCAAATTTGCACACAGTGACAACAATGACCGTGTTACTCTGTCTTATGTCGATTTTGGGATCTTCCCTAAAGATTTCCCATCTCTCTCTTCTGTGGTTGTACCTTCCCTCTATGTAAAGGCTTCTTGTGCCTTCAAATCTCCTCCCCAATGTCTCTGGGTGAAGCTAGAGGTGGAGACGTATCAATATGAACGTAAACCAAAGTTAGTTTTTGTATGGGGTGCCTATTTTATTTTATCATCTCATTCTGTCATCTCCTTTTCTCATTCTCTCTCTATTCTATTTTTTTGTAGGCTTGAAAGAGACTTGTACAACATAGTGAAAGGGGAGTTGGAGGAATTACAGGAGAAGGGGTCCTTTCTGAGAATCAAGTGTAAGTGGGATTTTAATGACCTCGAAGACAAATGGTGGTGGTGATCCTACTGATGAGATGGCTCGGCTTTCCACAGAATGTTCTTGGAGTCCAACCACCAGGAGGGCCTGACCTATGTGTTGCTCAGGTGTTACTGTTCATGGGGACAAATAAGCTGTTACCTCTGGAATGCTTTTTCACAGTTTGGATATTTAATATGCTGCTTACGTACTTTGTCTTTCATAGTGTAATGTTTTTAATTCTTGGGAGTGCTAAGAGGATTCAATAAAGCAAAGGATATAAAGATACCTTGAGGAAGCCTAAAGCCTCATTTCTCATGGATTAAGAGACAGGAGAGATGTGATATTTCCATAATTATTATATTGTGATTAAATATGCCAGATGGACATTCAGAACCACTCCTAATATGCAAATAGACCCAATTTAGGCTTTCTCTTCTACCTTTGAATGCTCTGTGACTGTGTTATATATCTAAAATGTATTTTATCAACCTGAAAATATTGAGGAACATGGATCCCACATGGGATATAATGTGAAATCAGTGATGTTATGCATGGGAATGTGTACGAGGAATAGGAGCTTATTAAATTTTAATTTTCTCTCCCTTGCCCTAACACCAAGATTCTTTCTTGTACTATTATTCAATAAGCAAAAGCACATTTAGTACTGGAGTCTTAGGGCACGTTTGGATATTTTATTTTGCATTTCATAGCTTTTTAAAACACTTTCATAGTGTGTCTTAGTCCTCATCAAAGCCCTGTAGGTAGGGACATCCCTACTTGACTGATTTAAAAACAAAGATACTGAGAGAAAATACTTTGTGACAGATTACAGGGGTAGCAAGTCAAATAATTGGACTTTGAATCCAACTCTTCTATTTTAAGGGCCAATATGCCTTACAAGACTCCATGGGATCTTCCAATAAGTTGAATGTCACGAGGCCTTCTCTCCATCCATGTTCCCTATTAAACATAAGTGAAATTCAGAGTCCTTGAAATAAATATTTCCTTCTCTTCCTCCTTCTGCACCTCCTTTGTTCTTTGTAGATGAAAGCTGGGATAGTGTGAGTGGGGAGAAGTATATGAACTAATTTAGAAAATCATGTCAAGGTAGCGACTTAAAGAAAAATCAAAGGTTTAGATCTGCCTTAATCGCCATGTCATTGATTACTCACTTCGGGTTACTAGTTATTAAAACGAGATCATGTTATGTCTGATAATTTGACGAACTATCCATTGTTAACCCCAAATCCAAGACTATTGCAAAATTTCTTCATTGTTTCTTTAAAAAATAACACAGGAATATTCTTTTGTGAGTGCGGGATCCACAAATTCTCGATTACCATTTTCATAATATTTTAGGAATTTTGTTATTCTAGAATTCCTGAATTTGTCATGGAATCCCCTCAATTACATCACAGTATTTTAAAACAACATTTTTTAAGATACTCAAAGGTCACTTTAAAGCCACCTCATAGGAATGCCAAAGTGACTTTGTGGGGTTTGGGGACCCGACAATAAGTCCGCCCCAGCCGGAAGGGGAGTGGTGATTCAGGAGGAGAGGGGTGGGATGGGAGGATTTGCGTGAGTCTGGCCTGCTGGAGGGCTTCTCCAGGCTCACGCTGGGTTATCAAACCCATGACCCAACAAGGCGCGATCAGCTTGTGACCAACTGTACTCTAACTTCCAGGCCTTGATTATTGGGACCTTCACAGCAGGTTTGATTGTCTCTCCAACTGCACTCCCTTCTCCTTCCACCTTTCATTCTACCACCCTCCTTATTTTTCACACTCCACTTCCTCCCCTCACCCGCTGCTGTGCAATCTCAAAAGCTTGGGTAGATGTGGCCAGGGCCAGGGTGCAGCAAGGAATAAGGGATAGTTCAAGTTAGAAGAAATCAAGATGGAATCCCCCTTCTGAGAAACAAACAGGAGTGATGGAGGAGCCGTGGTTGAAAAAAGGGACACCCCAGAGCTGAATCCAGCAAGACAAACAGCTTCTGCGGAATGGAACCACTCAGAATGGGTTTTGATTGTGGCACCACTGCTTCTTAACTAGTTACTAATGACTTGTACTCTTCAAGCCAATTTTCTCATTGCAAAATGGGTCTGATAGCACCAACCTCGGAGATTTTGTAAGTTACACAAAATAATGTGTGTAAAATGCTCAGCATGTGGTAAGCACCTGTAAATGTTGCTTTTCAATCCTGTCACCTCAAGAATCTCTATTTGTAAGTTAGATGTTTCATATATAGCTCAATACTTTATCAACATATCCTTTTCTACTGACTTTTGAGGGAAAAGAGAACTGGTTAGGGGCAATTGCTAACATGCCTCCTTGGGGGTGGGAACGGACATCCCAATAACATAATTAAGACAGCTAGGGGGATATGTTCTTTGGTTCTTCAAGCTGATTTTACATGCTTTCACCTCTATTGCACAGAAACCCTGGAAGGATGAATTCCCTCTTCTTCATTTCACAGATGAGAGAGTAACTGACTTTCCCAGTATTTTTCTTTTTCTTGTGATCTTTTTATTGAGGTAAAATTGACATAATACAAATTCACCACTTAACCATTTTGAAGTGTCCAGTTCTGTGGCATTAAGTACACTCACACTATCGTGCAACCATCGCCACCATCAATCTCTGGAACTTTTCCATCATCCCAAATTGAAATTCTGTCCCCATTAAACAATAACTCCCCATTTGCCCCTGTCTCCCCAGCCCCTAGCAACCACCTTTGTGCTGTCTGTCTCTAAGAATTTGACTACTCATACAAGTGGAATCATGCAATATTTGTCCATTTGTAACTGACTTGTTTCACTTAGCATAACGTCTTCAAGGTTCATCCATGTTGTAACACGTGACACGATTTCCTTTTTAAGGCTCAACGATATTTCATTGTATGGATGTAGCATGCTTTGTTCACCCCTTCCTTTGTTGATGAACACTTGGGTTGCTGACTTTCCCAATCTTAACTCCTCAACTGATGGCATGGGAGTTCAGGAGTGAAATACTCCCACCCTTAAACCTTCCTTCCAGCTCCCAATCCCAGGAGATCATCATTTGGAGGGAGGAGAAAAAGAGCAGAGTGTCTTAGGAGTCATAAGCCCCCATGGGAAGAGGAAAACTAGAGTCGAGGCTAAAGAATAGGAGATGCAATGGGTCAGGCAGTGAGTTAATAGTAGCAATGTCAGAGAAATGACCCAAAACTTGGAAAGAGGCAAAAGAGAATTCCTGGGTGTTCTTTTGGGAACAGTCCTGGGCTTGCAACTTAGGTTGACTGAGCTGTTTTACAGCTTTGCAGACGCTAACTTGTAGAGTCTTGTAAATATACCACTCTAATTTTATGCTGCTTCTACCTTTTCTGTTTATTCCATTGAACAAGCACGACTCGATGAGATAGAATCATAAAGCATCGTTTTAACCTGACACACAGAATGGCATCGTATATAAGTACTTCATCGTATATACATACTTTCACTTTTAGTCTATGCACGTTGAGATATAAACAATACACACGTGTATGTCTATACAACATGTAAATAGATGTATATATCACATTAAATACATTTTTCTGCAAGATTTTTCACTCAGCCTATCCATGTTGATACACACACATGTATATATACTTATGTGTATCAACGTGCATAGACTAACAGAATGAAAAAACTTGCAGAATAATGCATTTGGTGTGGTTTCTTTCATGTAATTAAAATAACCCTCAATGCCATATTGTCGATGGGTGCATGCTAGTATATGGAAGTACAGGAGTGGTATTGGAAGGATACCCGTTAATCTCATGATAGGGTTGCTTGTGGGGTTTAGGGACAGGGGAGGAGCCAGGGCTGGTGGTCAAAAGGAGCTTCAGGTTCATCTATTCTCTTAGGTAGAGAGAATGAGGGATTTGTACTTTTCTGACTTTTAAAAACGTACTTTTTCCTCTTTTTTTTTTGAGGAATATTGGCCCTGAGCTAAGATCTGTTGCCAATCTTCCACTCTCTTTTATTTTTTCCCCTCCCCAAAGCCCCAGCACGCAGCTGCGTATCTAGTTGCAGGTCACTCTGGCTCTTCCATGTGGGCTGCCACCACAGCATGGCCCACTGTGAGGTGTCCAGGTCTGTGCTCAGGATCTGAACCAGCGAACCCCAGGTCACTGAAGTGGAGTGTGCGAACCTAACCACTTGGCTGTGGTGCTGGCCCCCAATCTTTCTCTTTTTGCTTGAGGAAGATTGTCGCTGAGCTAACATCTGTGCCAGTCTTCCTCTGCTTTGTATGTGGGATGCTGCCACAGCATGGCTTGATGAGCAGTGCTAGGCAGCCCCCGGGATCCGCACCTGTGAACCCTGGGCAGCTGAAGCAGAGCATGCGAACTTAACCATTATGCCACTGAGCTGGCCCCTTACAAACATACTTTTAAAAAACCATCAAGAGGCAAAGGAAGAGAAAGCCTGAATTAAACTTGTGTTTCCAGTGATCTCAATAAGGCCAGCATCTTTCTAAGCCAATGTGGAGAAAGGACCACAGTTTCTTCAATCTACATGCTCCAGGCATTCACCAGTAGCAAATCACATGTCAAGATTTTACAAAATTTTTTAAGATATAAAAACTTTATTGAGTGTTTAAAATGTCATTGTAAGACAGGATAGAAATTTTACCTTGCAGGTCTTTCAGTGGCTTGCCCAAAGCCGCAAAGCAAATATAAAAACCCCATTAACACACAACGTATGAAACACATCTGCACGGGGTACCAGAAAAATCAGGGCTCCATCAGTGTGAGTAACTTGTGATTACTGGGTGCAGAGTAGGTATAAGTAAGGGCTCCAATACTTATCCTCCATAGGTGCTCTTGAGTCTGAATGAATCCTGCTTGCTCGCAATCTGATTTCTGCCCTTCTGCTCCTGTCTCTGTTCCATTAGCCACTGAAAATTGTCAAGTGGGGATTTCTCTCTTCTTCAGCCATCAGAAGTCTCTGGGTTTCCTCATCAAATTCATCTTTTTTCAGCCTGGTAAAATATAAAGGGGCTCTCTTTAATTTATGCCTCTTTCTTCTCCACATCTCATCTTTCTCCATCATTTCTTCCCTGGACAAACCTAGGACAAGCCTTCCCTGTCTTGCCTCCAAGAGGAAAGACACATCTGCTATATGCAGTGGTGTGCTGATAAATGTTTAACAGCTGGCTCACAAAAACCCCCCAAAAACCCTGGTTTGTAGGGCTGCTCATTTCTGTGGTGTAGATTCTCCAACCACGGCTGAATTCAAGCTGCCAACTTGATGACACTAAACACAGAGTGAGGAAGAGTTGCACACACACAGGGTTCTCACCAGCTGGCAGCAGCTGGCTTCAACTCATCACTGGACAGAAAAAATGTCCTGTCTGGTAGAAAGCCCTGATTCCACCTAAACATTAGGATTTGGGACAAGAAGGCAGGAAGCTAGGGAGAAAGACTGAAGCTATTTTTATTTTTAAAAAGATAAAATACTAACAGCTTTCATTATCCAAGTGCCTGGTGCAGGCCCTCTGCTCAGGGTTTCACTTGCATATGTCATTAAAATTTCACAACCACCTATGAGATACCATTATCGACTTGATTTGTGAGGAAGACATGGAGGCTAAGCAAGTTCAGGAATCGGCCTGAGGTCACACAGCCAAGCGGTGGAGTCAGGATACAGATCCAGCAGTTTGCTTCTGGAGCCCCTGCACGTGCACGCGGCATTATGTTGTTGCTTTGAAACAAACAGGAGGGTTAAGGATCATTGTGTCTTGGCTCTCCTGTGGGTATAAATGTCTCTTGTCTCTGTTGGTGTCTGTTCTTTTGCAACTGTCCCAAGCAGCTTCGTCTGACTGCTGGAGTGTGGTACGCCCCCTCAAGCAACCGTTCATCTTTACACACACGTTTGTGAGACTGTCCACGGTGGGAGTAGGGTGCAGAGGACATGGAAACTCACTTACTTGGTTCCATCATTTTTATCATATTATCTAATTTATATTTTCATAACGACCACGTCAAGTAATTTTCCCTATTTTTCCCGTGGAAGGCGGATAATCGAAGAGGAAAATGTCTTGCCTGAGACTACAGGACTAAACTTGGGAAAGCTGGAACCCCAGCACTGACTTCCATGACTCAGAAAATAACGGACGGTCCCAGTCTTCCCATTAGGTGGCGTGTCACCTGTGGCGCTCTGCGTTCCGAGTCTTTGGCACAAGTTACCATGAGAATGAAATCGTGCCAGGCACCTGAAATTTCTAGATGTAGATTTACAAGGATGGACTTTAAAGAAATGGACCTATAGCTTCACAAGACAGAAAAGAAGGTAATATTCTTAGTGCTGGAGTTATACCAGTTTTACCCCAACATCTTGTATTTCTCTCTTCTAGAAAGAAACGGCCTAATGACTACCTGTGACTGCGCCTGATCTCATGTACGTTTGAAAAGGGTAGGGGCAAATGCACGAGAAAGAAAGATGCTAAGGATTTATTATGTCGTTGTCTAGTAAAATAATATTTATCTGATAAAATAATATATATAGTTTGTATTATAATTGTGGTATTTATAATTGTAGTATTTGCAATTATAGACTTATATAAATATATCTTTATAATTATAAATAAAATACATAACAATTTAATTTTAGGTATAATTATAGGTATAACATATAGTATATAATTTGTATTATATTTATAACTACAGACATAATTATACATATAATTACAGCCATGCGTTGCTTAATGATGGGGACATTCTGAGAAATGCAGCAATAGGTGATTTTGTCATTGTGTGAACATCATAGAGTGTACTTACACAAACCAGATGGTGTAGCCTACACCTAGGCTCTATGGTACTAATCTTATGGGACCACTGTCATAGATGTGATCCGTTGTTGACTGAAATGTCCTTATGTGGTGCATGACTGTATAAATATTTAAGTCAACAATTAAAAATATATATTAAATTATATGTCTATAATTATAAATATAATTATAAAAATTATAATATTTTTAGATATTTTGCTAGATTTTATAATTATAATTATATATAATTGATAATATAGAATTATACATATTACATTTATAATTGTCTAATTATAATTTATTATACTAAATTTTTATTTTAATATATAATGAACTTAAATATAAATATAATAAAATATATTAAGTATAATTATAATTTATCTAATTATACATATTTAGGTATTATAATTATGATTTGTATTATAATAGTACCAAGGGCCAACATTTACTGGGCACTTGCGGTTCACCAGTTACTGTGCTGAATAAGGGACTTACGTCATCTTTCACTCCTGCAACAACCCTGAGACAGGGAACATCATTTGCATTTAAATGCAATGAGATTAGACTGTCATAGTTCCACACCTTGGGTCCCTGTCAGTCCCTCGTGAGCCCCGAGGACTGTCCCCACAGGGAGAACCAGCACCAGCTCACCCGAGAACCTGCAGGGGGCACTCTGGGCATCTCAGGGCCTCACACAGCACCACCACCCCACCGTGGTCCAAGGCGTTTCCACTGAGGTTCAGTCTTCTCAGAGTTTTACTGCTGGTGAGAGCAGAAGAGAGATCCTCGCAGCAGGCACTAGTTAACTTGCACGCACCCAGCCTGCAACAGAAGACACACGGTGAGAAGTGGCCCCATCCTCAGGGTGAAGAGGGTGGCATGTGGGTGGCATGTGAGCTGGACATTTATCCAAGGCTCACCCCTTAGCCTCCAAGTACAGTGTCTCACAGCCCAGGGTTTATGACATCTGACTACTGCTCTGGGCTAGATTGGAAAAGCGGCCACAATTGTCCGTTCCTCTCTGAACCCACTCCCATGGCAGTGTGGCTTTGCGGCTCATTCCACTAAGGGTTGGGGTCTATTTCCCCAGCCCCTGAATCTGGACTGCCCATGTGTCTTGCTTTGGCTGATATGAAACAATGGAAGGAAGGTTCTGTGAGTTCTGAGCCGACACCTTGCACATTTCTTGCGCTCTTTAACCCCTGAGATGCTGACCGCGTCCCTCCAAAGATTCCTAAGTTGAAGTGCTAACCCCTAGTAACTCAAAACGTGGCCGTATTTGCAGTAGGGTCTTTACAGAGGCAATTAAGTTAAAATGAGGTTGTCACGTCAGGCCCTAATCCAACAGGACAGGTGTCTTCATAAGAAGAGGCAATCAGGACACAGACACACACAGAGGGAAGACCACACGAAGACGCAGGGAGAAGCTGGCGTCTACAAGCTTAGGAGAGAGGTCTCAGAAGGAACCAACCCTGCTGACACCTTGATCTTGGACCTCCAGCCTCCAGAACTGTGAGAAAATAAATTTCTGTTGCGTCAGCCCCCTAGTCTGTGGTCCTTTTTTATGGCGGCCCAAGCAAACTGGTAACAGATGCCACGTCCACAAGGCCAGGCAACCCAGTTAGACACGAGAGATATGCAGTCCAGCCATCCCTGCCTTCCTCAGTTCACAGACAGCCACGCATCTCCAGACTTGATAGTGAGGCCCCCCTAGACCAAACAATGCCCCAGGGAACCACCGATTCCTGAGCACGCCCATTCGAGGTCGGCTACGCCTGGCACAGACCAGCAGAGCCAGCTAGCGATTGTAAGTGCTCACTGCTTGAGGCCTCTAAGTTTTGCAGTAGTTTATTATGCCAGCACAGCTAATTGCTACATGCCCCTGACGGGGTTTTCATTTTTCTTTCTCTTTCTGGCCATGCACCCTCCATCTTTTGCCACCCACAAAGACACAATCACGACTTTGAGAATACCCACCCAAGATTCTCTAAGCGACATTGGGGATGTGTCAGAGCTTCGCACAACAGCTTCGCACCGACATCTTCTATATCGTTGTACCCAATTTGCAGACCTGTCAGGTTTTGGTTGCTGGTGAGGACTGAGGCAAGGTCTTGACAGCCACGGGCAGTGATACAACATTTTAATAAACTGCAAGAGAATAGTGGAGGTACTCTCAAAGGTTACTAAATTTTTGCTTGATATCAGGAAAAGAAAGATGCCAAGGCACTATACTTTTATCATCCCTATGGATGGGTGATCATCCCAGCATCATTTGCTGAAGGTCTGTCCTCCCCCTGTGATCTGTGATACAGTTGTCCACAATGCAAAGTCCGAACACACGTGGATGGGTCTGTCATGGGCTGTGTGTTCTGTGTCTTTGGTCTATTCATGCCTCTGAATTCTACACTGCTTTTAATTTTTAAAACCTTATAATGTCATTCTATCTTTAGAGCTAGGTCTCCCATTTTTTTTTTTTTTTTTAGGAAGATTAGCCCTGAGCTCACTACTGCCAATCCTCCTCTTTTTGCTGAGGAAGACTGGCCCTGAGCTAACATCTGTGCCCATCTTCCTCTACTTTATATATGGGACGCCTGCCACAGCGTGACTTGATGAGCAGTGCATAGGTCCACATCTGTGATCTGAACCAGCAACCCTGGGCTGCCAAAGTGGACTTAACTGCTGCACCACCAGGCTGGCCCTTTCATTTACATTTTTAAATCTAATTTTCAAGTTCAACACAACACAAGAAAACATTGCATTTTGATTGGGATTTCATTAAAATGAAAATCAGTTTGTGGAGAAATGACTTTTAATACTGAGTATTTCAATCCTTGAACATGGGACCTCTTTCCTTTTTCCCACATTACACTATCATTTGATGATATTCTCTACAACTGTCTTTCATGTATTGTGTTAGCCTTATTCCTGGGTAATTTTTTAACAAAATCTTTTAATTTTGGTAATTCCTTTTTGATGCTAGTGCAAATGGTAATTTTATTTAATTCCACTAGTTTAATGCTTCTTGTTGGTCTCTAGGAAATTGTATACTGTTTGTTTAAAGGAAGGTTATTGGATTCATTCATTCTGATAATTTAGCTACAGATTAAAAAAAATTTTATGTACACTATCATATCATCTGCATAGAATTAGATGATTCTTCCTTTCTAACATTTTAAGGATTGCGGGTTTTATATTATATTTTTCTTTCTTTATTGCTCTTGCCACCATCTACAGGACAAGGCAGATTAGAAGTTATAGCCAACATTCTTACCTTTTTTTGACATCAAAGACAAAGCTTTTCTCTCTTTATAATTAAACAAACGCTTGCTTTGGATTTTTTGAACTATTCCTTATCAGTTCAAGGAAGTTCCCAGTTATTAATTTTTCAAGTTATTATAATAAACAGATATTGTGTTTTAATTCACAGCTTTTTCTGTATTTTAGATGATAGTGATATTTATTTTTAATCAGTGTAGTAAATTACATTGATCTTTTTAATGCTGAAGTAACTTTATATTCTTGGGATAAACCCAACGTGGTCATTATGTTAATTTTTAACATATCAGGATTCTATTTGCTAACATGCTGTTTGGTGTTATGCATTTCATGAATGACTGGTCTGTCCTTTTTCTTTCTTATGTTATTCTTATTGGTTTCTGGTATCGAGATTATGCTGGGCTCAAAAGATGGCAAGGAGTATGTCTTATCTTTCCAACCTTGAAAGAATTCGTGTAACTCTGGCGTTATTTCCCCCTTGAGTGTTTGGTAGCAGTCACTGATGAAGACTTCCAAGCTCTGAGTTTTCTTTATGGTAAGATTTGACTATTGATTTAATTTCTTTAATGGTTTAGAACTATTCATTTTTCTTTCTTCTTCAGTTTGGCAAGACATTATTCTAGACGTTTACTGAGTTTTGAAAAAAAATCTAGACTTTCTGGTTTATTGTGTAAAGCTGCTCATAAAATTCTCTTAATTATTCAACGCATCTGTAGTAATGTTTCTTTTCGTTTTTGTACCGTTCAGTATAGTAGCTGACTGTGCCACGTGACCACTGGGCACTTGAAACGTAGCTTGTCTCAATCAAGATGTACTACAGTGCAAAACACACTCCAGAGTTTAAAGAGTACAAAATGTGAAATGTCTCATTAATAATTTTGTATTGATTACATGTTGCAGTGATAATATTTGATATATAGTTAAATAAGTTTTACTATTAAAATTAATTTCGCCTGTTTATTTTCAGTTTTTAAACATGTGGCTACTAGGCACTATTACATGTGTGGCTCGCATTCCTCTTTTGGACAGCTAAGATACAAGATGCTCACCAGTCTTTGTAAAGAACCAAACTTTAACCTCCTGACAGTTTATATAGTGTGTTTGTTTTCTTTCATTAATTTCTGCTCCCATTTTTATTTCCTTCTATCTTTTCCTGGGCTTCTTTTGTCATTTAAAAAAATTCCTTGGGGCCGGCCCCGTGCCTGAGTGGTTGTTGGCATGCTCTGCTTTGGTGGCCCAGAGTTTGCTGGTTTGGATCCTGGGTGTGGACCTGCACACTGCTCATCAAGCCACGCTGTGGCAGTGTCCCACACAGAGGAACTAGAATATCTACAACTAGGATACGTAGGATATGTAGTGGGGCTTTGGGGAGCAAAAAAATAAAAAGAAGATTGGCAACAGATGTTAGCTCAGGGCCAATCTTCCTCATCAAAAAAAAAAAAAAAGGAAGAGAAATGGGGATGCAGAGGAAAATTAGATGCAAATGTTCATTTAAAAGAAAGAAAAAATTTCTTAGGATGGGTACTTAGTTCATTATGCTTCAGCTGTTCTTTTTGTAATATACACACATGCTTCAGCTTCATCTCCTCAGTTTGTGGTGAAGTATATTCTTTTTCATTTCAACGTATCTTCTAATTTCCATTACGATTTCTTCTTTGATTCATGGGTGATGTATGGGAAATAATTACATTGACCTCATAAGAATTATGGTTCAATTACATAGGATAATTTCAAAAATAGCATCAGGCAAATAATACACATATCAATAATACTTTGTGCCCCAAAGTTTATTTTGTCTGCTTAATGTAGCTACATGAACTTTCTTTTGGTTAATTTGTATGGTATATTTTTTCCATCCTTTCACTGTTACCATTTGTCTCATTTTTTTATTGAGGTGAATTCGCATTACACAGAATCAATCATTTTAAAGTGAAGAATTCAGTGGCATTTAGTCTATTTACAAGATTATGCAACCACAACCTCATTATATTTCAATGTCACTTATAAACATTAGGTTTAAAAAAATCTGGTATGATAATTTTGATCTTTTAGCTGAAATACTTGATCTTTTTATATTGAACAGTTACTGATATATTTGATTTTAGATCCACATCTTGCTGTGTTTTGTATTTTCTTGTATCTGCTCCTTTGTTTTTCTTCCCTTTCTTGCTTTCTTTTAATGAGATATTTGCATCATTCCGTCTTCTCTCCTCTGCTGATTTGGGAGTTAGAAACACTTTCTGGTTTTCTTCTTCTAAGTTTGTAGAAGTTTCTATATTTGTATTTAACCTGTAAACATCTCAAATTAATAAATACTTTTACCCTCTTTTTGGACTTTAAAACACTAATTTACATTTTATGTGACTGTCGTTGTACATTTTAGTTTTCCTTTAAATCCTAAAGACAATATTATTTTTGTAAGCAGTTCATATTTTATTTAAATACATCTACAGATTTACCACCTTCTTTGTTCTACGTCTTTTTCCCCCTAGAATTATTTAACTTCTGCATGAGGGCTATTCTTGAGAATTACCTTGAGTGATGATCTGATGGTGGGAAACAAATTTTTTTTGAAAATATATTTTTGTCCTCATTCCTGCTGATTTTTGTTGGTTATAAAATTATCGGTTGGCAATTTCTCCCCAGCATACCGAAGATCTTATTGCACTGCCTTCTTGTTTTCATCGCTCCTCTTCACCCAGCTCTTTCTGTCCTTCCTTTAAATGTTATGCCTTCTTCCAGCCCCCAGCCCCAGTGTAGAAGTTGTAAGATCACTATCTTTATATGTGTGGTTCTGCAGGTTCTCCATTATTTATCCTACTGGGGCCAAATTTGGAGGATTGAATCTGTAGATTCAAACGTTTCATCAGGGAAAGTTTTAGCCATTACATCTTAAAACATTTTCTCTCTCTAGGATTCCCATTAAATGTGCCACAACATCTTGCTCTATCCTCTAGGTCTCAATCTCTCTTCATTTCACATCTTTTTCTCTCTTCATGCTGCCTTCTAGATAATTAGGACCTATATTTTGTTTTACTAATTTGCTCTGTAATTATGTCTAATCTATTGTTCAACCCATCTGTTACATTTCTGGTATTATAATTTCTAGATGCTCCATTTTATTTGCTTTCTCAATTTGCCGATTTTGTTTTATGGCTTCCTTTTTCCTAAGATATTTAAACATGCTCTTTTTCTTTAAAATAGTGAGCATAATGGTTTTATAGATGAGTCTGGTCACTCCCACTTTCTGCAGTCTGGCGGGTGTCTTTGTTTTGTTCTTGCTCACAGTGCTGTATTTCCTTGTGTTTTAGCTTATTTTAACTGTGTGGTGTTCATGGACCCTGCAAGATCATTTTAGGAATAAGCTGAGGCCAAAGATCACGTTATGCTTTTATCTACCTCCAGAAAAGATGTGCACTTGCTTTTTCCAGGTGTCTAGAGGCAGTGCTAGTTTAAGGTTGTTTTAAATAAATATATCCCAAATGGATTTTTGGACCGCCTCAAGTGATCTACATTTAGTTTACTACATAGACTACTTCTGGCTCAGCTTCCAGATAATTTTAATATTTTTAAAATATACTACATCTGATATTTTTAGTAGCTTTCAGTTCAAGGATTGAGCCAGATAACATAACCCACCATTACAAGGTCAAGAACATGCCTGGTACTTTTGTCACATCATTTAACACACCCTCCAAGCAAGGAATCCACAGTTCTAAACGCTGAGATTTCATGATGGATTAGGTAAAATGCTTCTGTCTAATCCCACAAGTCTCTTGATTTCTCAGGAAAGAGACATTTGATGATGAAATGCTATCCCAATTGGTAACTCCAAGACACCACCACCACTATCACAAGGTTACCCAACTATTTCTCAACTTTTTAATATGAAATTGTCTTTTCATTATCTGCTTATTACTCTCTTACTGTTCATATTCCTTTATCAAGTATCCCTTGTTTTATCCATGTTAATTCCCAGATTTGTTAGCAGTTCTCACATCCCCATCTTTAACCTTTCTACCTGGAATTTCAGTTCTCCTTTTCCACCTGACGAAACTTATACATCTTGTAGGACACATGCCAAACATCTAACCATAAAACCATCCCTGAGCCCCCTGCCATAATTCCTCTGTCTGAGTCCTTTTGTACACTCAGCTGAATGACCATTTACAACACACTAAATCTGTGACAGAAGAGTCAAGGTACAGAGTTTTTTCACCTCAACATCCCTACAAGAATCTGAAACAAGTAATTTTTAACCTTCACATCCTGAGGCACCGACGCCAAGACTTTCCTCAAATCTAGGTGCCTTCTCAGCCATCCAAGCCTCCTGAAAAGGAGGGTCGGTGTTGAAAGTACACCTCAAAGGCACCTACCACAGCGACTGTAGTTGGCAGCTTGGCTGTTTCAAGGCCTCGCAGAGAAGTTTCAGTTCTTCATATTTCAGGACATTTGCGCTGAGGTCTAGATGGACCAAGCTCTTGTTACACAGAAGAGCATCAGAGAGGCTTTTCCAGCAGTGTCCACTGAGGTAGCAGTAACCCAAGCTGTGGGGACAAATATATGGGAGAAACGGGGGAAGAAGGAACTGATGTGTCTGGGAGCTTTGTTTGGCTCCACATTAAAGGTCGTATTCATACAATCTTATATACACAAAATCCTCAGCTGAGGCCATCCATTTCCAGCTTATCTGAAAATACCTCCCTCCATTTCTTCTTACTCACACGATAGAGGGATTAGAAAATAAAACCGACAAAGTAATGTAGGAGGAAAAAGACGGCACGCAATGGCACAGCTAATTCTCTAAAAGGACTTAGAAAATTTTGGTTCTAATTCTACATCTGATAATGCTCCCTCCTGGATTGGTGAAGTGTATTGGATTACCTTATGTGTAAAATCCTCTTCAACTTTTTAAGTTCTATTCCTTAAAATAGTAATAAAGTCATGGCTTTAAAGGGATGCATGTGCACTTGGGAAAAACTCTAAGGTACAGCAAAATATAAAGCAGGGGTCCCAAGCTGAACTATATATGGTCTACAGACATTAAAATTTGCCATCACCTTTATATTTTTAAAAATTAGTTGCCAACATTTAAACACCAATAAAGTTTTATATAAAATCCAGATTTTTAACTTCTGCTGAAAATTTAGATATCTGGCAACACTGGATCCATGTCGCCATGCTGTAATGTGATGGGCTAGGATGGAAGGAGGAACTGCTTCCTGTAGACGGGCCACATTGATCTCCATTCTCACGCAGACCCCACCCGGCTTGCATCTTCCGTTGATCTCCATTCTATGCGACCTCTAGGCATTTGTGTTTTTGATACCTAGTATAAAACTCAAGCCATTGAGGATCTCACAATTTTATATTCTGACATCTTACGAGCCTATTTTCTCATTGTTAAAAATTATATTTAGAAACTAAGCCATATATATATTTGGCAATTTTTTCCAATAGTAAAGTGAACCTCAATTTAAAATGCTATTTCATACCTTAGAGGCTGTATGATATTAAATTATAATGAAAAACATTATAATTTAATGAAAAATTATAATATTTCATATGATTTAGATATTTAGCTATTTTAAAATAATTTTTTATTTTACAAGACCCTGGCAAACATTGACAAGTAAAAATTAATTTGTCTTAAACTATTGTTTTATTTACTTGGTTATTTTTGGTTGTTTTAGGTGGCAGGTTAAATTCAGTTCCTGTTCCTCCATTTTGGCTGCAAGTGTACCTCCTCTAATTTTCTTGATTTATTCTCAGAATATCCTTACTTTCATGTAGTTGTAATCTCAAAAAATCCCGAAGTATAAACAGAGAAATGTTTCCCTCCCACTCGCTTCTCCCAATCTCCCAGTTCTATTTCCCAAAGGTAACCTATATTATAGGTAACCTATAATTTTATATCTCCTCCAACCAAGGATATTTGTGTATAAAAAAGCCCCAAATATACATAAGTGCATATTTCCCACCACCTCTTTTTTTTTTTTTTAAAGATTGGCACCTGAGCTAACAACTGTTGCCAATCTTCTTTTTTTTTCTTCTGCTTTTTCTCCTCAAATCCCCCCAGGACATATTTCAGTTGTGGGTCCATCTAGTTGTGGCATGTGGGACGCCTCCTCAGTATGGCCTGATGAGGAGTGCCACGTCTGCACCCAGGATCCGAACCAGTGAAACCCTGGGCCGCCGAAGTGGAGCGTGCAAACTTAACCACTCGGCAATGGGGCCGGCCCCCCACCACCTCCTTTTTATACAAGTCCTACTATGAACTGAAGATATTAGAACTGTATTAATAGGTAATCAGTTGACTCTCTAACACATTAACTCCTCTGTCCTTTTTCTATGTACCTAAACTTTGCTTCTAGGTTAGTCTGTTCATTCATCCTATTACTGCAGGAGAAGCACACTCCGAATTAAATGAGGTCAACACGTCCAAGGACATCTTGCTCTGCTATTGTCTGACAGCTGCTGACAGCAAGGATTGACAGCTGGGAGTTCACTTTACAAACTAGTAACAAGTAAAAGTTAGTAGGTAGTAAGGAAGTATCTGCGTGTGTTGTAGGTACTTTAATCCAGTCTAACATCTTTAGAAACTTGATTATGTACTCTGTATAATCTTACTTAATTTTCATGAGACTTCTAGGACAGAATTTTCCACCTCCGTCTACAGAGGAGCCAACTGAAGCTGACAGACATTAAATAACTTTTTCAAGATAACAGTGCATAAGTGGTAAATCCACAAGTGGAACTCAAGTCTTTCTGATGCTGAAGCCTACACTTTAAGATCTGTGCTACGTTGCTTCCATCAATGGATGGATTTGGCCAAAGTTCAAACTGCTGCCATGGTCCTCCATGGTGGACGCTCCCAATGTTCACTTACACCAAGACCTCCAGAGCGCAGTCTGGGTGGCGCAGGGCCTTACACAACAGGGGCACGCCTTTGTCCAAGTAGTTGTATGATACGTTAAGAAGCTTCAGCTTGTTGTTGCTGTTTAAGACCCAGGTGAAGGCTTCACAATCATCAGCTGAAAGGCAACAATTTGTCAGCCTGTAGGAAAGAGAAAATGGTACATTCCATTGGTTTCTATTTCCCTGACTCATTCTTCTTGCTAATCCTATAATAGTGAGGAAGCACTTGTTTGCTCTGCTTGAGAACCTCATTGATCCCCTGCCTCTGTATTGATCCCCATGACCCATCCTTTAAACTTGAGACACATACAGACTCAGTTATTATCCGTATGTGCCTTAAACTTCCCCAGGACTTCTCACTGCACTTAAGGAAAAGCCCAAAATATATCATGTGATCTACAAGGCTTCTTCCTCAATGCTTGTGTCTCAGCCACACTGGCTGTTTTCAGTTGCTTGACCCACATTGGGTGTTATTCTTCAAAGTAGGTATTCATATTTGCTGTTCCCCCAATCTCCTTCCCCCAAACTCCTTTATCCTACTTAGGGTTTTTGCATTTGTTCACCCTGAGTGGAATGCTCTTTGCCTGGCCTTTGCTTAGATGGATCCTCATCATTCAGGTCTCTGCTCAAGCAGCACCTCCTCAGAGGACCCTTCAACTGGAGTCCCACGTGCTCATGATTTGATGGCTTGCTTGAGTTGGTTGGCGCTATGAGTAATTATGGTTTTCCATTACTTTAGCCACTCTCCTTCCCTCTGGTTGCCACAAGAAGTATAAACTAGGCCCAAAGACAATAGAATAAAGATGGAAACAATTATGATAGTTGTCAAGAAATGAAAATGTAATTGGGAAGTCACCTAGTCCATGGCTCCTGACATTTCTCTAAGGATGATGCTGTGGCAATGCATGGTTTTAAAGTGGTTTCTAGCTTAAAGACATTTTCAAAGAGTAAAAAATAGGGTTTGCTTACTTCATACCACATATAAAAATTAACTTGAAATGGATCATAGACCTAAATATAAGTGCTAAAACATTTAAAACTCTTAGAAGAAAACACAAGAGTAAATTTTCATGACCTTGGGTTAGGCAATGGTTTCTTAGATTTTACACTAAATACACTAGAGGCAAGAAAAAAATAAATTGCACTTCATCAAAATTAAAAGCTTTTGTGTCTCATAGGACATCATTAAGAAAGTGAAAATACAATTCACAGACTGGGAGAAAATATTTTCTAATCATGTATCTTGTATATCATAACTTGTATCCAGAGTGTTATAACTCAACATATATTTACAATTCAACAAAAGGACCAACAAACCAATTAAAAATGTGCAAAGGAGTTGAATAGACATTTTTCCAAAGAAGATATAAAAATGGCCAACAAGCACATGAAAAGATGCAGAACATCATTAGTCATTTAGCAAATACAAACCAAAACCACAATGAGATGCCACGTTAAACCCATTAGGATGACTGTAACCAAAAAATGGAAAATAACTATTGGCAAGGACATGGAGAAATCAGAACCCTCAGGCATGGCTGGGGGGAATGTAAAGTGGTTCAGCCACTGTGGAAAACAGTTTGTTGGTTCCTCCAAAAGTTGAACATAGAATTACTATATGACTCAGCAATGCCACTCCTACGTGTACACCCCAAAGAATTGAAAAACAGGTGTTTAAAACAATGACATTCATAGCAGCACTAGTCACAATGGCCAAAAGGTGGAAGCAGCCCAAGTGTTCATCAACAGATGAACGGATAAACAAAATACAGTATATCAGCACACTATAATATTACTCAGCCATAAAAAGAAATGAAGCACTGATACATGGTACAATTTGGATGAACCCTGAAAACATTTTACTAGTGAAAGAAGCCACTAACAAAAGACCACATATTGTATGATTCAATTTATATGAGATGTCCAGTATAGGTAAACCCATTGAGACTAAAAGTATATTAGTGGTTGCCAGGGTGACAAATGAATGGGTAGCGAGTGCTAAAGGGTCTGGAGTTTCTTTTTGAGGTGACGAAAATGCTCTGAAGTTCGATAGTCATGATGGTTGCACATCCTTGTGAATATGTACCAAGACCACTAAATTGTATGCTCTAAAAGGGTGTGTTTAGTATGTGGATTATATCTTGGTGAAGCTATTAAGAAATGGGTTTGGGTGATTGTGTGTTTGGTTAATGGGAGCCCAGATAAGGGAAGATAAAGAGTTGAGTGGAGAAATCTGAATATGGGGGTATTAAAGAAAGTAAACAGAGGATTAGTATTAGAGGGAATCCTTACTTGATTGAAAAAACATTCTTGAAGTGTAACGTACATACAGAAAAGTGAACAAATGCTAAGTGTTGGCCAATGAACTGCTATGAATTGAATGCCCTTGTGTTACCAGTATCCAGGTCAAGAAGCAGAACATATCCATCACCTCCTGCCACTATCCTAACCTCCGATACTGTAGTCTTGCCCATCTTTGCATCTTATATAAATAAAATCACATGCTATATTCTTAAGCTCGGCTCATTTCCATCAACAATGTCTGTGAGATTCATCCAAATTGTTGCATATGATTGTAAATATTCATTCTCAGGGACTGAAAATATAACCACGGTTCTCTTATCTAAGTTTCTCTTAGTATTTCCATTTTTTCAGGTATTATGGATATTTGTCATGAATGTCTTAATATTTATATTTCAGCAAAATTATGCATGCAACTCTGTCAAATGTACACCTAAAAGTGGAATTCCTAGGTTATACAGAATGCCAGAACCTACGAAAGCTGAATATAGGCTAGTCGTTTTCCATAGTGGTTGTACCAATTTAGAAACTTTAACGCCCATATTCTAATCCCAAGTTTACAGGAGGTTAAGTTTGCATATGACTAATAGAAGAGAGGACTAAAGTGGACAGATGAAAATGGTGCCGTGCTCTCTGGAATCAGGTCAGTGAGCCTCGTGAACACAGAGACTTACAGCAGTTCCTCCACGTTGCACTTTGGATTGCTCAAGGCGTTACAGAGCAACTTCACATCCTTACGGGAGAGGGCTGTGCCATTGAGGTTCAGGTATTTCAAATCCGGGCTAAGCGTGAGCACCTCAAAGAAAAACCAACTCTCAGCAGAGAAGGAAACGTTATTTATCCTGAAAAAATAACAAAAAGTTTGGATAGGTCTCATCCAACAAAACCTGAGAACACTGCCTGAGCGCCTGTCTCGAATGTCTCCTGTGACCTGCAATTAACTGATAACCTAATTTCACGATCCAATTATGTAGCTCAGTGGTTCTCAATCTTCCAATTTGTACCGTGGGGGCAAAATCACCCAAGGTCTGGAAATATTTTTGGTTGTCACACTGGGGGATGTGCTACCGGCATCTAGTGGGTGGAGGTCAGGATGCTACTAAATACAGTGGACAGGACAGTGCCCACCATGAAGAATTACCCGACCCAGGATGTCAATAGTGAAGGCTGAGACACTCTGGTGTAACACTATCTAGCGTTACAAACTTTCAAATTTAAATGGATTAACACAATTTATTTTTTTCTCATGTAATGGTTCAGTGCAAGTATTGGGGGTGGAGTGGGTTTCCTCTTAGACAGTGGTTCTTCATCTCGGCCGCACATTGAAATAACATGGAGATATTCTAATAAGTTGATTTAGGGGCTTGACCTGGGATTGAAGAACTTCGTTTTTGTTTTGGGTGAGGAAGATTGTCCCTGAGCTAACATCTTTGCCAATCTTCCTCTATTTTGTATGTGGCTTGCCACCACAGCATGGCTGACAAGTGGTGTAGGTCTGTGCCTGGGATCCGAACCTGTGAACCCAGGCTGTTGCAGCAGAGCACGCCAAATTTAACCACTAGGCATGGAGCCGGCCCATGAAGAGCTTTTTTAAAGGTCCTTGGGCAATTTTAGTGTGCAGACAATATTAAGAAATTACTGCTTTACACCCTTGCTTCTCAAAGTGTGGTTCCTGGACAAGCCACATCAGCATCACCTGAGAACTTGTTAGAAATGCAGAATCTTATGTTCTACCCCAGACCCACTGAAGCAGTATTTCCATTTTAATGACATTAAAGTGTGAGAAGCACTCCTCTACGGAACCACAGACACAGGTTCTGTCTGTCTTGTGACTTCACCATTCAACTAGTAAATGAGGAATGCACACATAGAGACCCCAGTCTCTTCCTTAAGGGCTTTGGTATAGAAGCTACACTTCTCCTGATATTTTATTGCTAAGAAGGAGTCACATAGCCATATTCAGATGCCAAGGACCCTTGGATGTGAAGCACTTGGCTGGAGACAACACCACACTACAATGGGGGAACACACTTTAGTGGTGGTAAGGGCACCTAGCTATCTCTGCCACAAAAATTCCCAGATGAATATCGCTCTTGTGTATTCCTCCCTTTCTCTGGAATCCTTAAGCTCCACAACATGTGAGACGATATTCTAAAATCCTTGACTAGGATGACTTCCCAGATAACCAGAATCTCATGTTCTCTCATTTCTTTTATATTCACCTCTCACAGGGAAATATCTGTACATTTTACGGCAGGGAAACAGAAACCAACCAAGCCACACGACCGTCTGTTCCTAGAGGTCAGGACCATAACTCTCAACCTAATTTTATTCTTGGGATTTAGTACAAAGTCTGACACCCAATTGGCCCTCAACTATTGGTTGACAGAATGCTCCTCAAACATTTAAGGAAGCAGCAGGTGCAATAGCCACCAGCAGAAGCTCTGCAATTGATCAGCTCTGAGGTCAGAACCCAGCTTTGCCCTTTAACAGCCCTGTGACCTTAAGACACTCACTTCAATGAATATGGGAAAATGTGACACAGCAAGAGAAATGGCATGTGAAACTCTGCTCTAGATTGCAATTCTTTTTTTTTGAGGAAGACTGGCCCTGAGCTAACATCCGTGCCCATTTTCCTCTACTTTATATGTGGGACGCCTGCCACAGCATGGCTTGACAAGCAGTGTGTAGGTCCACACCGGGATGCGAACCGGCAAACCACAGGCTACTGAAGTGCAATGTGCGAACCTAACCAGTGTGCCACTGGGCTGGCCCCTAGATTGCAATTCTTTGCCTGTGCAGTTGGCCTCGCTGGAAATCTGGAGGTAAGATGAATTTATCACCATGACAGACTCAATCCAGGTGGATCTCCAATTTACCAAAGCTTTTGAAGGTGACAGCTGGGATGCCTCAGCTGATTACACAAAGTCACAAAGGCTGACTCGTTGAGGCTGCTGTCACTCACTTGGAGTTCTGTGAGGTTCTCATTTGTAGTGAGCACAGAGCAGACATGATGCCAACAGATGAAACTGTAATTTGACCTGTAAGGAGAAAGGAAACGCTTTCCATGGGTAAATAGTCAACCCAAGCCATTCATATCATAAGCATAACAGATTATCTACCTGAACATGAAACAGCTGACTCAGACTCACGTTTAGTCAGACAGAATAAGGTCAGTCAGGGGAGCTATCTTATATTCATAGTGCTCAACTGGGGCAATGTTGTCCCCTTCTCCCAGGCAACATTGGGCAGTATCTGGAGAAATTTTTGGTTGCTATAGCTTGGGGGAGGGGTGCTCCTGGCATCTAGTGGGTGAGACAAGGGATGCTACTAAACATCCTACAATGCAAACGACAGCCCCACACGACAAAGAATGATCCAACCCAAACTGTCAATAGTGCCAAGGTTGCAAAACCTTGCCTTATATGCAGGCAGTTTTATAGTAAAAGGTGAGGCAGCACAGTACAGCTGTCATTCTCGAGGAAGATTGCCTTGGCTCAAACCGAGCCTTCACCACTTCTTAACCTGGGCAGCTTATGTGCTCTCTTTGCTTCAGTCATCTCACCTGCAACATGATAATAGAATCTACCTCATCTGATATTTACGAGTATTAAGTGAGTTAAAACTTGTAAGAATTAATTTTAAAAGTTAATTTTTAGCTGAGAAGTCAAGAAAGAATCTGAATGTGGTCCTATGGGAATGATACAAATATTAATTATAAGTACCTATCAGCTAATACTTGTGAAGTGTAGGAAAAACTTCACATGAGCTCTCAACATTCAATCTTCACAATACCTCACAATGTGGTAGTTACCATTATTGCCCTTTTACAATGAAGGAACTTCAACAAAGGAAGGGAAAACCCCGTGGACAAGGTCAAATAGTTCATACAGAGTCAAGCCAGGACTTGAGCTGAGGTCTGTTTGACAGAAAAGGTGAGATCCTAACCATGATCCTATATTAAAAACTCCATCAGCAAAACCCACTTGGGAATATAGACAGATGTTGAAAAGGTGATAGAAAGAAAGTCATTGGATGGACTCACGTGGGGTTGTTTGCATTCTCTTCTTTAAAGACATTTTGGATGGAAAGCCAAAGTTTCCTCAAGCGAGAACAGTGTTTTAAGCAGTAGGCAGAAGTCACCAAATCTGCACTGTCAACAATAGAAAATGTAACGTCTTGGAAGAGGGCCATTGCCCACTTTACAAAGGCTTCGTTCTGCATCTCAAACAAACAGTAACACAATGCCAAGAAATCCACCTCTCCTTGAAGATGTTCACTCTCACCTATGCGCTGCACACACTGGCGAAATTTCTGCTGTATCTCTTGGGACAGGTGGAAGCCAAAAAACGCATCCAGCTTTTGTTGCTCCTTTTCATTTAAAAGGCCAAACATGAAACACCCCAAATAAATCCAATGTACTTTTACTTTCTTTAAATAGGTAAATAGTAGTGTCTCTGTACATCCAACAGCTGGGTTTGGATGGTCGATGTGGCTCTTCAGAAAATAGAACATGGCGGCACAGAACTCCTGGACACACACATGGATGAACAGGTATGAGTTCTCACATTCTCTGTACTTCTGAAGAGCCTTCATGTCCAGCAATGTAGGAATGTCAGAATCCACTAACCCATTTCTCCTAAGATCCTCTTCACTAAATACAAACGTGTCGGTCCACATGCCCTCTGCAGCCAGGGAACACAAGCCCTTCAACTGGCTTTGGCTTTGCTGATCTGGACAACTAGTGCCCTTGGCTGTGAACAAGTTAAAGATGAAAGAAGTATAAAGAGAGGTGGTACGTCGGCAGGTCAGTGCCAGATCTTTCCCCCTTTCCATCTCGTGCTTCAGACAAGTGCACACAATCCAGCAAAGGGTGGGGATTTGGCACATGCAAAACAGTTGTTCATTTTCTCTTACAAAACTGAAGGCTTCCATGGCTCTATTCCTGTCTTGAAATATACAGCAGAAGTACTGCTTCCTCTCACTCTCACTGAATCCCAGGAATGTTTTAATTTCTGGGCACACCAACCTATCCTCAATTTCCCCTGGGTACACAGGTGCAGCTGCAATGAGCAGTGAGCACTCGGGGAGCATTTTCTTCCTCAACAAGCTACTCAGGAGCACCCGTACTGGTCGCTGCTCCATCCAGTCGCTGCACAGATCTGACTCAGGTTCATCCAGGTTGTGTTTCAGTTCTTCAAAGCTATCAATGACGAACAAGAGTCTCTCTGGCTGGGACATGATCTCCGTTAGTGGAACATGGGAGTTGGGCCAGTCTCTAGAAATCAGCGCTGCCAAGCTTGTCTGTGTCAACTGCTTCATTTCCCGGCAGCAGAAGTAGAAAACATAAAAGAATCTCTCCTGATAGAGGCTGCCCTCTGCCCAGGCCAACATCAACTTGATCAGAAACGTCGTTTTCCCTATCCCTTGTATTCCTTTAAAGACCACTGTTCGTGGCTGTTTTCCAGTTTCCTTAGGGGCAAAAAGACGTTCCAAAGACTCACGTTCTTTCTGGGTGGTTTTCTGGTCAAAGTAGTCATGAATCCTAGTGACAGATTCTCTGAACCACATATTGTTGAACTTCTCCTGTATATGAGCTTGATATGTCTTGGTGTGTCCTGAGTCAGTGAGAACAGGAGGAGAAAAACACACATACAACACATCCAAGTTAAACACTCATATATATATATATACTTTTTGACCCTGCAATTGTTCTTCTCAGAATGTATCTTCTCAGGGATCTGCAAACTGTGGCCCACAGACCAAAGCTGGGCAACAGCCTGTTTTGTAAATAAAATTTCATTGGAATACAGTCATACTGTTCATGTAGTGTTGTCTACAGCTGCTTTCCTGCCACAGTGGTGAGATGAGTAGTTGTAACAGAGACTGTATGGCCCACAAAGTCTAAAATGTATACTCTACAGCCCTCTACAGAAAAACGCAGCCAAACCCTGCTCTAGATACACACACATGCGCATGCACACATGGGTATTCATTGCTGCTATTATAGCAACACTAGAAAAGAACTGTATGACCGTCAACAGAAGGCCAGGTAAATAATTTATGGAACCATGGAACATTATGCAGATATTGAAAGTATGGAATCATCTTTATGTGGAAAAAGAACAAGACAGTGTCTCTAGTATGTACCCATTTATCCATTCAAGGGATTTTCTGTGTATGAAATTGATCTGAAAGACCTGACACAGGCAGTTACCTCTAGAAGAGAAACTGGATGCAATAGACGTGCTAGAATGGTGCTCAGTATTTGTTCCAACTTTGATCTAGAGAGTATGCTTAAGAGCAGAATGCTAAAAACAAACAAACATAAAAACTACCACCCTTCTCAGATTCCCTTGCTGCTAAGATTGCAGGTACAGGTTAAGTCCTGCAATTTACATGTGCTCCTGACACTGGAAGGTAGAAGAGGAATGGAGTCCATGTTCTGCTGCTCCAACAGTTTTGCTGCCGGTTGCTGTGAACATGGAGACGCGAGGCTTTTCTGTAATTCCATTCCCGTCTCCAATTGCTATCATCATGGTTTTCAAGGAGCAGCTACACTAGTGAGCTTCCCAACCTCTGAATCATGGCTACATTGGTGGCCTTCCTATCATTCACCTTCCTAATTGCAATAAGGGTAGCAGGTCCCAGGTGGTGTAGTTCCTGGAGTCATTTCTAGAGCACCAGCTTGGACCCCATTCTTCAGCTCTTCTAGAAGTTCTGGAAACACCAAACCCCCTTATAAAATTATGTTTTCTTTAAATAACTGCTATGATCTTTGTTTTCTGCAAGTAAATGGTGGCTGATGGACAGGGATCTGGGGGCTGTTGTAGGAGGGAAGTTTTCACTCTACCCCTGCATAACTGTCATTGGGTTTGATAGAACATAGGTAAGGGCTATAACCTAGCACTACGTGTAACAGTAGGTAACACTACATTAACCCACGGGGAGAACAGTGGATTCTCCCAGTCTCTCAGTCTCCTGAAGTTCTCAGCTGCTAACGATGCCACCTGATGTTGGTTAGGATCCCATTAGCTTCTTAAGCTTAGAAAGCTCTTTGCCCACCCCTCAGTGTTTTCTAGTTTCTTGGTCTTCTCACCTGTTCCGGAAATTTGGGTTACATGTTTGATTGTTCACTAATGGGAATTAAATGGGCACACAACCCCTTCTCCCTCTTTAGTGAAAGAAGATAAAGGCATACATCTCCAAAGGACGATCCATTTTCAGACCTGCTTACAGCTTACTTTAGCAACACCCTTTGTTATATTGAGTTGCCACATGAAAGGAACGTTCTCCTCCATATAGACTGCTTTTGAGAAGCAAAAAACAGTGACAAAACTCAGTATATTAGAGCACTTGAGAGATTTTATAAAAAGAACCCTCAACTTCAAGTTCAATGACCTGTGTTGAAGCCTGGTACCAACTCCTCCTAGTTACGCGATCTGGGGAAGGAAAGAGTCTCCCTGAGCTTCAGGTGTCTCAGTTGTAAATGAAGGTAAGGCTGAGCTTCCTAGTACTATAGGGATATTGTGAAGGTCACAGGCTGTAGGAATCATGCATGAGGGAGCAAAACATGCATTGTGAAGGGATCTAGAATGTGAGGAAGTTGTGGGGTTTACAGTTCAATTTGGAAAGGGACGATGATATCTCCTACAGTTAAGAATGATGCTACCATCAACTAAATCATCCCCACCTACCTATGAGCACCATCATGTCTTATGAACCTAATTCTCTATTAGGCTCTGATATAGCATTAAGAATGCCCCAAATGATGCAACAAGGTAGTGGATTTGCCTTTTGTTAAACAGGTTTCTGAGAGGCTGACATATTTCATCAGTGCCATATGAATAAGCTTCATTAGGATTCCGATCATTACCAGCTTTCAAAATCTATCAACCCCATCTGCAATACCCAGCCAAGTCCTATTTAAAAGCCAATCCTGCAAAATATATTTGAATGATTCTTTCAACATGTCCTATGTCCAACAACAATGTTTGGTGACTTGGATTAGAAAAGATCACATTTCTGGTGTGGTTTGATGCTCAACCCTCAATGTAGAAAAAATTTGTAATAGAGAAGGAAGAGGACATGAAAAATCCCCTGAAATACTTCTAAGAAGAAAAGAAAAAAAAACAGGTTAAATGCTCCAAACTGAGGTACTTTAGGAGGGCATCATGGAAGAATCAAGCTTGAAAATTGTTAGAAGAGAAAGGCTATTTACAATTTCATTAACTACAAACAACAAAACCACCACCAAAAACTTGAGTCTAGTGTATATGGCTCTGGCTACTAAACACACTTGTTTAAACATTTTTTAGATCCTGAATTGAAGCATACTGAATGTATATTTTTAATACCTTTGTCCCCTGCTGAAAAATGTGGTAAATTTCAAGTGTCCTTTTCTGTGAGAAGGGAATGGTAAGTTCTGTGCTATCCAATATGGTAGCCACTAGCTACATGGAACTATTCAGCAAAGTGGCTAGTGTGACTGAGGAACTAAATTTTTTATTTGATTTAAAATAATTTAAATGTTAATAGCTGCATGTAGCTAGTGGCTACCATATTGGATGGAGCATTATCTATATTCTTCTAGTACAGGGTTGCTCAATTTTAGCACTACTGACATTGTAGGCTGGATAATTCTTTGCGGTGAGGGACTCTCTTGGGCATCCAGGATGTTTAGCATCCCTGGCCTCTAAGCACTCGGTGCAGGTAGTACTCTCCTGCATCATGCCCAATGGAGACAACAAAAAATATCTACAAACATGGCCAAACGTCCCCTAGAGGGCAAAAATCACTCCTGAGAATCACTACCAAGATTAACCACTGCCAAGATTAACCTAACACAATTTCCATGTGATCCTGAAAATCAAAGATCATGGAAGAATATGGAGATGAAGAAATGAACATTGTCCCATAGTACCTTCTGGCCCTGTTGTAGATAAGCATCGAGATCATTTATCAAAATTAGGACATGATGCTCGTTATAAGAAACCTTGTCCCATCCCACAATCCCAGACCCCCTCACCTGTAATCTCTTTCTTGGCCTTCTCACAGAGATCCTTTCTATGGATCTTGTGAAAGATGCTGAAGGTCACATTCCATGCTTCTTGTTCCTCATAATGTTTGACCAATAGGTTAGCAAGTCCTTCCCGGGTTGCCTTCCTTACTTCAGCCCAGGGAATTGGCTTGAGTCCGAGTTGCAGAGGCTCTTGTTTGAGGAAATCCTTAAATTTTCTGAACTCATCCTTTTTGAGCTCCCCCAGGTACCACAGAAGGCCAAAATCAGAAAAGAAAGATGACGCCATTTGTCCAGGGCAGAGAAATCAATCGTCAGAGACAGAATTAGCAGCAACAAGAATAAATGGAACCTGTGGAAAATTCAAGGTGGTATCAAGTTATTCAAAAATCAATCAGTTGAGGTAACTAAGTTCTTATAAGTACCTTGCTAGTTTTGGGGGTCGGGGTGAGGGCAGGAAGTCCTTTAGACCAGACTCATCTTTTCTCATCTTCTCATTGAAATGGTCATGAGAACAATGATACCTGAAGTAAAATTCAGCATAAGTAATAAATCAGTCCCAAAAGAATTACTTCTAACCCAACTCTGATGATGCCCAGTAGAGACATATAATAAAATGTATCCTAAGTTAGTGTCTAGGAAAGCACTCCTGAAGATCTACAGATAAATACTCAATATAAACCAGCTGAAAAAATTGTCAGATAAGCCAAATTTGTCCAAATGAAGGCTTACACATTTACAGTATCTGATGGGTTCAACTTTAAGGCAAAATCACGATGACAGGTAAGGAGGATCTTTACCTAATACTAGTTGGAACAGTTATTCAGAAGATATGAGAATCCTAATCTGTGTCCACCTGACATATCCTCAATAGAGAAGCAAATATAGACTCACAAGCATTGGGACGTTGCATCTCTCAGTGAATAACAGACAAGGCAGGCCCACATCAATATAGTCAATTGACTTTTGACAAAAGCACAGTGCAGAAAGGATATTTTTTTTTTAACAAATGGCACTGAGACAACTCGAAGTCTATAGGCAAGGAAAAAAAAAAACCTAGACACAGGTCTCACAGCTTACACAGTAATCAAGTCCAAATGGATTATAAACTTAAACAGAAAATTCAAAACTGTAAAACTTCTAGAAGAAAACATAGGAGAAAATCTACATGATCTTGGATTTGGTGAAGAGTTTTCAGGTACAATGTAAAATGCATGATCCATTAAAAAAAGATAAACCAGACTTTATCAAAATGAAAGACGTCTGCTCGGAGAAGGACGCTTGTTAAGAGAATGAAAAGATCCGCTATAGACTAGGGAAAAGATACTTGCAAATTACGTGTCTGATCAAAGATCTGGATCTAGAATATACAAAGAACCCTTGAAATTCAACAAGAAAATAACCTAATAAAAAATGAGTAAAACATCTGAACAGATAGCTCACCAAAGAGGATATACATGTGGTAAATAAGAATATGAAAGGATGCTTAACATTTGTCATTAGGAAAATAAAATTAAAACCATGATGAGATGCCAAGGGCTAAAATTAAAAAGAGTGATCAATTCATGTTGAGAATATGAAGTAACAGAACTCTCCTTCACTGCTGGTGGAAATGCAAAATGTTACAGCCACTTTGGAAGATAGTTTGGCTAATAGTCTTACATACAAGCCAGCAATGTCCCTCAGTATTTAGCAGCTGATTTGAAAGACTTTTATCTGTACCAAAACTACACATGAATATTTGTAGCAGCTTCATTCATAATCACCAAAACCTAGAAGAAACCAAAATGTCCTTCAATAGATGGATAAATAAACTGCAGTGCACGGGGACCTACACCCCACTCATTGAGCCATACTGTGGCGGCGTCCCACATAGAAGAATTAGAATGACCTACAACCAGGATATACAACTATGTGCGGGAGGGCTTTGGAGAGCAAAAAAAAAAAAAAAGGAAGATTGGCAACAGATGTTAGCTCAGGGCCAATCTTCCTCACCAAAAAGCATAAAAAAAGCCAAAACAAAAAAAACCAAAACCACAGTACACCCATACAATGAAACACTAATCTGCAATAAAAAGAAATAAACTATAAATCTATGCAACAACATGGATAAGTCTTAAATGCGTGTTGCTAAGTGAAAGGAAATAGGCTGAGAAGGTTGTACAGGGTCTGATTCCATTTCTATGACATCCTGGAAAAGACAAAACCACAGAGACTGTAAACACATCAGTGGTTGCCACGGATTCAGGAGTGGGGGTGAATAGGTGAAGCACAGGGAGTTTCTTTTAGGGCAGTGAAACTATTTCGTATAAAACTAGAGTTGTGGACACATGGCACTGGCATCTGTGAAAACCTATAGAATACTACAGCATAGAGGGAACCTTAATGTATTCAAACTAAAAAGAAAAATAGGATTTTCAGGGACCCCCGCCAGTATGGAATGCAGACTGTGACAAAATTTAACCGTGTTACAAGTGTGTGACATAACCTCGCTGAAAGGATAGGAGGGAGACAGCGTTGGTCTAAGTAAGTTTGGACATGAGCGGAGACCGTAAGACAACGGTAAAAGGAAGCGCACACAAGCACTGGACTCTCGTGGTCCAGTTGTGCCGTGGAGGCACAGTTTACAATCTGAAACTGCCATCCACGCCGGCTGGGACTGAACAAGTAAGAGAATGGGTGGCAGAGGGTGGGTCCTGGGTTCCTACTGTCGGGTGGGAAGTTATAGATAAGCAAAGGGGAGGCTCTAACAAGCCAGGTGACACTGGGTTAGAGCTGGAGGCATTGGTGTGAACTTAGTTTACTTAGTATAATGCAGATCAATATTTATAGAAATAATTCTACACACATACACGGGTTAGTACACACACATGCATTTGCTTTCTCTATCCACTGAAATGGCTGTTATGAACTGAATGTGTGTATCCACCCAGAAATCATATGTTTAAGCCCAAACCCCAATGTGACTGTATTTGAAGATAGGGCCTTCCTAGAGGTAATTAAAGTTAAACAAAATCATAAGGGTGGGGATCTCATGCAATAGGATTAGTGTCCTTATAAGAAGAGACACCAGAGAGCCCACCCCCGCTGCCACGTGAACATGCAGTGAGAAGTCCAACTGCCGTCCACAAGCTTGGAAGAGATCTCTCACCAGAAACCCACCCTGCTGGACCTTGATCTGGAACTTCTAACCTCCAGAAGCATGACAAAATAAATTTCTGTTGTTTACTCCACCCAGTCTACCGCATTTCCTCATGGCAGCCCGAGCTGACTAATACAAGGGCCTGGAAGCAACAGCAGACATCCCAGTAGATATCGGCGAACCCAGAGGCCAGGCTGGATTTCTAAGGCCATTGTCTAATAAAAGGAAAGGGTCTCTGGGGGAAATGACTGATTCTGGGGCTGGGGCATGGAATGTATAGGATGAGCCTGCGTGTTTGTAGTGCCTGAGAGTAAGCAACGCAAAAAACAAAATGATGGTATAGGTCACTAGGAGGCAACTGAAAGAGCTCCTAATAGCTAAAGCCGGAACAACTGAGCAAGAAGATAAATTGTGTTAGCACTGGATGATAACCAAGGTAAAAAGTAAGTGTTCATGAGTCGATACCAATATAAGTAAATAACTGAGTAAACAAATGGGGAAAATAGACAAATGTCCCAGAGAGAAGAATTCCAAACCATTTACATGAATTTTCCCCCTTTGAGGAGATGGAATATAAAACCCCACCCTCTGAGTGTGAACTGCATAGAGGGACTTTCTTTTAAACAATGCAATGTAGGGGGCCAGACCCGTGGGCGAGTGGTTAAAGTTTGTGCGCTCTGCTTTGGCAGCCCAGGGTTTCGCCGGTTCAAATCCTGGGTGCGGACATGGCACCACCCATTGAGCCATGCTGAGGCAGCGTCCCACATGCCACAGCTGGAAGGACCCACAACTAAAAATACACAACTATGTACCCAGGGGCTTTGGGAAAAAAAGGAAAAAAATAAAATATTTAAAAAAAAAAAAAAGAGGAGGGAAGAGTAACTTTACAGACAAGAAGCCTGCCAAACGCCCAAGCTAGGTGATCAATGTTAACATCAGTGGTGAGTTATCATAATAGCGCGTGACATGATGAGCATGCAACGTTACCTCTGTGGTTTTCCTCCCTCAAACCCCAGTTTAACTGTGAGTTGAATGTGTTGTACAAACCCAACATGAAGGACCTTCTACAACACACCTGACTAGTACTTCTTAAAACTGTCGAGGTCATCAACAAGGAAATTCTAAGAAAGTGTCACAGAGCAGAGGTGACTAAGGAGACATGACAACTAAGCATAATGTGGTGTCCTAGCTGAGATCCTGGCACAGAAAAAGAACATTAGGTGAAGAGTAAGGAAGTCAGAAGTAAGTACGGTGTTTAGTTAACAATGATCCATCAATATTGTGAGAAATGTACCGTATTAATGGAAGATGTTAACAAGAGTGAAACCCAGACACGGGATATGCACAAACTCTCTGTACTGTCCTTGCAACTTTTCTGTAAGTCAAAAACTATCCTCAAACTTGGAAAAAAATAATTAAAAACATAAATAAAGCAAATAGTTATCGCTGATTTAGATACATAAAAATTAGCACATTATCTAATAGATATTTATAGAATCCTATACACAACTATGAGGGATCATTCTTTTTAAGCACTCACAAAACATTCACAATAATTGACTATGCCCTGGGCTGTAAAGCAAATCTTAATAGAAAAAGAAAAAGCTAGCAGCAGAGAGACCATCTTCTCTGTGCCCAATGCAACACAATTAGGTGTTGGTAATAAAAATCAACAAGAAGCTCAAATTATACAAGAGAATATTACAACAAATGAAACCACTTTATTCATGGGTGACCACAAGGCAAGATTTGCCCCCACAGTAGTAGACTAGGTGATTTGGATAAAAATTTAAAATAAATCTTAATAGCATTAGAGATCTAAAAATGAGGAAAAATTGTTAAGTGGTACACAGAATGAGAATACAATTACAAAGAGATAACACTCAAGGACTTTCAACGGCTTCTTCCCTGAGGGCTGTTGCCCGTAGTGTTCAAAAGCCTGCTTTTCGTAAAATCTTGAGTCACAAGAACATCTGAGTGCTGAGGCCACCAGAGGAACAGGCCCTCTAAGCAACATCAACACCAGAAGACAACTTGTGAGAAACGAAAACTCTCAGCACCCTCCTCAGACCAACTAAATTCTGAAGGCAGGGCAGAGCCAGCTGTGAAAGCGTCCAGCTGGTTTAGACTGCCCGCCCAAGTTTGAGAACCACTGACCTCAAGAATGGCTTTCACTGGGCAAGAACCTCGTTGGCA